GCAAACCTTCACCATTGCCAATTGTAATCTTGTCATTTCCTGTATATGAAGTAACTTGTTACAAAGACTCAACATTTGCAGTCATGTGATGTGAAGCTCCTGTATCTATAATCTAAGAATCATTGGGCAAAACTGTTGGTGGAGCTTGGGCTTGCATTGTTGTGAGAGTAGAAGCAGGTGGTGTCCCTTGGTAAGCAAAATTATTTCTGTGATAACAATCTAATGCACTCTGCCCTTTTTTGCCACAAATCTAACATTCCAGGACTTGTCCTACTGAGGTTGGTTAGGTAGATTTTCTCCAACAATTAGGTGATATATGCCCTCTTTTGAAACAAATCTGACACTCAGGCACTATATTAAACTTTGTCTCGGTATAACCAGTCCAAGATTGCCAGCTTCCTCCATTTGATTTGCCCCCAGAATTACCACCTCTATTGTTTGCATAATTTTGAGATCTGGAAGTACCATTCACATTAGTCTTAGAGCCATATTGAGGTCGAGAACCATTATTATTAAACTGTCTTGGAGTATTTGTTGTCCCCACAAAACCATAAGCATTTGCACCCTCATGATACACTGAATCTTGAGACTGTGGAAAAGGATAAGAAGAAGGAAACATCACTAAAGTTTGAGACAGTGGAAAAGGTATATGTATTGGAGGTTGAGACTGTGGAAAAGAATATGGTATCTGTATAGCATTTAAAGATGATATTCCTGAACTATAATGTGCTTGAGACTGTGGAACAGGATATGGCATCTGTGCAGCATTGGAAGATGATGCTCCTGCACTATAATGTCCTCCAAAAATAGAACTTGCATTTGGTATTGGTGTCAAAGTACCTCCAATGATGAAAGGGACATTATCAGAGTTACTAGAAGACCCTTGATGCATTAGAGAATAAGAACTTGACCCAGTATGCCCTTGCATATACAATCCAGCATTATTTGAAGACAAATTATGAATAATGGAATCAGCTTCTCTTTCTGCACACAATGGCTGCTCCCCAAACTCTATTAGTGTCATATGTGTATCTCTTGTAAAAATGACAATTCTTATAACAAAATATTCTCTTGGTAAACTAGACAATTTTGCAACAATGAAATCATTATCACTCGATACTTCTCCAACTGCTATTAACTGATCTTTAATATTTCTAAGACGAGACATATAATGATCAATCGAACTTGCTCTTTTTTGCATGGTCTGAAATTTTGTCTTAAGGGTATTAACCCGAGCTTTAGAAACAAATGTATATCGATCTTGCAAATTGATCCAAGCTTCATTTGCAGTTCTAGACCCTAACACATACTCAATTGACTCATCCGGCAGAGTAGCAATTAACAAACTTAGAAGAGCAAGATCCACAGACTCCCATTCCAAGAATGCATCAAAAACTGCATTAGTGACCCCTTGATCCACACTCACTACATACTTTGGTGGACATGGAATAGAACCATCAAAATGGCCAAACAGTTTACAACCTTTGAGAACAGAAGTAAATTGAAACACCCACTTCGCAAAATTTTTATCATTCAACTTGATTGTCAACATGCCTAAAAGGCTCTCTACTTTCACAGATGATGATGACATTATGTGTACACTTTGTAAAATACCAAAGATTCTTCACACAGAACTTCAATTCAATCAAGTAAACAAATACCCAATTCAATACCTTCAACCACAGTAAGAGATCAACCAAGAAAACATAATTACAAAACTGAATCAAGCTTAATCAAGAAACGGCTTCATGCCCACAACAAACTACAAGAATCAAGGAATGGCTTCGTGCCCTCAACAATCTACAGCGAAGTAATCAACGATGGCTTTATGCCCACTACAAATCAAAAATCAAGAAATGGCTTCGTGCCTCCAAACAGACATATTTTCTCACAACTTTCCAACAACTACCAGTAATCACAGAGATACCTAGAAATTAGGTCAAGAAAAATGAGAACAATTTCACCTGAATCTGCCACTGTCAGCCCCCAACACAAAGAAAATCGTCATTGATGGAGCAACAAGAAAAATATCAACAAATCCACCGAGACGTTGCAACCCTTAGTCCTCACAGCAGAATCATTGGCTCGATACCATCTTAACATTTATGAGTCTTTAGATGAATTTAGCAGAAGAAAGTCAGAAAATACAGAAAATCAGCGAAGAGAGAAATGAAGAGAGAAGTAAAGAGAGGAAGAAACTAAATAGTCTTTCTGAATTACATTAATCTAAAAGATTATTTTACACATGGATAGCTATATATATAGCTGCTCACAATTGATGACTCAACACTCTCTTTCTTAACTAACCAACTTGTAACTAACTGTAGCTGACATGGCATGAGGTGTATGCTAATCTATCATACATCCTCAGTTATTATAAAAATTATGCAATCGGAGATGCAAAGGACCTGTGATGTGTATTTAAACTAACCTAAATAATAGATTAATTTAAACTAAATTTAACTTGCAAGCGCATGAATCAATTGTAGCAATATATGCAAATACGAGGTCGATCATACAGAGATTGCTTTTAATACCAATTTAACCAGCTGATTACGCGAAACTTAACTTAATTAGGAAACAAATGATTGATTAATTGATTGCTAAAAATAATTAAAACTCCAACTTAATATCAAATGAGGAATATAATTAACAAAAACACACAACGAATGAAGGTTTAAACAAATTAATAAGATGAAAGCCTAAGGTCATGAATCCACCGATAACAATCCTATTCCCTTTTCTTCAAGCCGATTACTGTCCAATTACCCTGCCAATATTTAAGGTTGTTCATTCTAATATATGAATTAATCCGTGGTTAGGCATCAACTCATGTGTCTATTCGTGACAACTATTTGATTAGGCATACAATTAAACACATAAAAACCCATTAAGCATTGAAGAATCATGTCAACCAAGTAGGACTAGTTTGATATTGGTCATCCTCACTAGTTTATCTACTCTTCCTAATCTTAGTTCCAATAAGTTTAATTGATTGGTCATCCTCTTAGATTTATCTAATTATCTATTAGTCATCATCTTAGATTTATCTAATTATCTAGAACAAGTTCACAATGATGGCCAATCACAAGAACATTCGAAACTAGAATAAATTAAACACAAAGATTAAGAATTAAACATGGCATGTAATCGAGTAATCAACAAGATACTTCGGGAATAATCATGTCATGGTTTCATCATAAACCTTAGAAAAGTAGTTTAGTTACACAGAGTCATAATAAAAATCACAAAAGAAGTCATGGAAGAAGATAAAACCCGCAAAAGAATGGTAAATGCACGCTAAGCTTCCCTCCTTCACTTTGGACAAATTTTTGTGTACTAAGTTCACTTTTTGAGATAGCCTAGGGCACTATATTTATTCTAGTAAAACCTTAAAAAGTCTAGTAGAAACTATCCTAAAAGAAAACAAATTCCTAAATAATCAATGAGAGAAACTAGGAAAGAATCCTTCTTGGCTTGGAAAACACATCATCTGAATTGCACGCCAAGTTTGAGGTCGATTTCTCTTGTAGAAAATTCTGTAAAAATATGATAAACGTAGCTTTATCTGTTATCTTTCCAGGCATATACCGCACACCACTAGGAAGGAATGCCTTCAAATCATCTTTCTCCTACAACTGCGCATTTCTAACGGGTTTAACTGGAATGAATGGCTCAATGGAAAATTATTAAATTCGAACATAACGATCTTCAGCCTCTTAACTTCCTTCTCCAATTGGCTTTGCATCAAAACTCCTCTGGAAAGTCGAATTATCACCAAAAACATTCTAAGTGTGCAGATTGGCTGAAATTAAGGAAAAGAAAGTAATAAGGTTCTTTTAGGACCAATTCGTTAACAAAACATAAAGATAAATGATATGAAATAATAACAAATAATGCACTTATCAATTTGTTTACATCCTCAATTTTGCATTTTTTGCATTGGAGATGCCCGTATGATTGGAGATAAAATCTTCAGCTTCCCTCTATATTTTGGCTAGGGGGCACATTCAAGGAGTCCATTGGAGTTCGAGTCTTCCAATTCGTGTAATTGAGCCTCCACCTTTACCCAGACCTTCAACCCTTCTAACTGTTTCGACAACTAATCTTGTAATTCATCAATGAGAGAGTGGAGGGATGTACCTGCAAAAGACACATCCCTCCACTCTCACATTGATAGATTACAAGATTAGTGAGTGTCCAAGTGTCTTTTGCAGGTAAATCCCTCTACTCTCTCATTAACTGATGGTAGATTAGTTGTTGGTAGAGAATTGGAAGACTCGAATTTTTCTGCACCAACATTGACATTCTCTCCTTTTTAGATTATTTTCTTGGGTTGGACTCCAACTGAGTTTGGCCTATAACGAACAGAGTTATGATAAGTTTTTTTGCTGGTTCTCTATGATCAGATTGGAATAGATAAGCTTTCACATTCAAGTATATTAAAGGATAACAGATGAATGGTTTTTCATTTGGTGCGGATTAGTGGATTAATAGTTAGTTGTTAAGGGGAAGGAGAGTGCAAGTGGCCATTTACCACAGTAGTGGAAAGATGTTGAGCCCTTGCTTAACGATATGACTAATCTAATATCTAATTTAACAAAATCTATTATTTGACAAAAGAAAGGGAAGGACAATCGGAAGGATTGAACCCGCACCATATTACATAGACAATATTATTTTCTACCAATGCATTGCAGTTTAACGTTCAATTAAATTGTACCGATACCTTATTTAATTTTTACTAAGTACCATAGACGGATTTAATTTACTTTTCTTAGTTTCCTCCAAAGCTAAACCAAAAAACAGAAAGCAAATTGATAAGGAGGAAGCTGTAAATAGAAATAGTAAAAGATCTTGTTTTGTTAACTAACCCTTCTGTTTCGGCAACCTCTTAGATTATAGCCTTTAAAATGGAGAGTTTTTTCTCCCCAAAACAAACTGCCTCTTCCATTTCTCTCTCTCTCTCTTCACCAACCCCTCTCTCTCTCTCTTCTCTCTGACAAACCAGTTTCTCCTCAATCTCCATCCATGTCAATAGGCCATATCCAAGGGCACCAAGAATCCCAAAGATCCCAAGAGGTTAAGTTGTAAGTTCCAAATATCCAATCCCTTTTCATTCTCATTAGCATTAGATTTCAAGATCCACAATTGAAAAAGATAAAAAAAAAAATCAATGTGAAACTTTTACCTAACCTATTCAATGATTGCTAACCCAACAATTTTACATATTTGTTGGTGTAGCACATAAAAATGGAGGTGGCAATAAATATTTGATTATTAAATTGCTACCGATCAAACCTTAAACATTACACATCTCTTTCTCATCCTCAATCCGCATGCTTATTCAATCTGCGATATTATTATATTTTTTTCCGATCATCAACTCCTATCGGAAGTATACATCGGTTTTGGTGAACAAATTTCGCGACTCTAGCATTATTGTTTTGAGAAAGCATCTACATTTGCAAAGATGCAGTCTTTGAGTCGATCAATACGAGGTCAATCGTTACATGAGCCTCCACCATTTGCAGAGAAGATCACAGAAGACCCTGTGACAACGAAAACCGCACAAAGCACGGTGACTTGCGTCTACCTTGCAAATATTGCGACATTTTGGCGGAAGGTGACGATCATATGGTGTAAGAACCTCATGAACCATTCCCTCAGCATTCGGATTGATAGCTTAGACGGCGGTTTTCATTATACTTGCAAAATCGACCTAAAGCCATGGCATTTTTGGAGCAAAAAAGGGTATAAGTCATTCGAGGTCGAAGGGAATCAAGTGGAGGTTTATTGGGATCTTCGTTCTGCAAAATTTGGCGGCGGCCCAGAACCTTTTTCTGACTTTTATGTTGCTCTTGTTTGCGATGAGGAGATTGTGTTGTTATTGGGAGACATGAAGAAAAAGGCATACAAGAGAACAAAATCCAGACCAGCCCTTGTGGAGGCACTTTTATACTACAAAAAAGAAAACGTGTTTGCCAAGAAAAGTTTTGCCACAAGAGTGAAGTTTGATGAGAATAGAAAAGAGCATGACATTGTCGTGGAGAGCTCAACATCGGGCTCGAAAGACCCTGAAATATGGATCAGCATAGACGGGATTGTGTTGATTCATGTCAAGAATTTGGAGTGGAAATTCAGAGGGAATCAGACCGTGCAGGTGAACATGCAACCGGTGCAAGTTTTCTGGGACGTGCACGATTGGCTTTTCAGCAGCCCCGGGACTGGGCATGGGCTGTTTATTTTCAAGCCAGGGCCGCCGGAATCAGAGAGCGATCACGACAGAGATGGCAACGGCGGCATAGACAGTGATAATAGCAGTCCTTATTATTCAACTCAGACTAGTAACTCAACATCTTCCGACTTCTGCCTGTTTCTTCATGCATATAAGATTGAGTGAGGGAAACTAGCTTATGGAAACACAAAAAAAAAAAAAAAAAAAAAAAAAAAAAACAGAAAATGGTTGTAAAATTGTAAATTATGGTCGTAGCATTACTTCATATAAAAAGGTACTCTAATATTCATTTGATAATTTGTAAACTGAATTTTTTTAATTGTTGGTGTCACCCGTTTAGTGCTGTTATAGGATACTGGGCAGCCTTTGGTAGGGAAGGTATTTGGAGGATGATGAATGGTGGGAGGCATATATAATAATGTAAAATTGTATTCATATTATATATGCAGGAAGTTAAGAAAATTAAGGTCTAGAAGTGCTATTCCATGATCTCCTACTTATTCTTGCAATTTTTCAAGTAGATTGATTATTATATTCTTGCCATTTTTATCTTCTGTGTGTGGAAAATTGGATGGGTGTTGGCATAATGTGGATAAGGCTAGGGTTTAAGGACTGATATTGCTGTTAATTTTTCAGGATAAGAAAGTGAAAAGAAAAGAAAATGCCTCGAGTCAATATTCAAGTATCAAACGTTACGACATTGAATTGACATGTTTCAGAGTTTAATTGTAGCCCAAACCATGAAAAAGGGGTGGATGAATTGGTTCATTTTACACTTGTTTCGATAGATTAATCCAAGGCAAGTCATGCAAAATTACTTTTGATTTTCTTATTTACTGCTGTTAAATTGGTTGAAGTGGAAAAAGTTCAACAAGATCAATGGTCAAGAGAATATTCTAGCAAATTAGGGTTATATATGAAATTTTAGCGAAAAGTTCATCCAAATTTTGAAACCACCTGGGATTCAGACTAGCTAAGCTGCTTCCAATTTCAACAAAACCTCATCTGCCTTAACTTTTAAGAGATGTATGCCAAAACATCGGCCATTATATTAAATTTGAATATTTATTAATCTAACTTATTTTCATTTGGCTTTTTAGCCAAAATGATTTCTGAGATTTGCATAACACATAACCTTAGTCCTTAAGATTGAAAATCAATAGAAATAGTCTATGAGATTGCCCGTCATCCATTATTTTGGTTCTTCCGTTAAAAAACTCTGTTAAGCGGTCTTGGAGCTCACACCGGAAACTGAGATTTTGGCCAGAAGTTTGGGCAAAGCTTTGTAATTCAATCGTTTTTTAACCAAATTCGGCCCATAATATATCAAAATGAAGATAGGAAAGTGTAGAGCAAGATTATATCTATTTGGAAGCCCAATGGTTGCCGGAGATGGCTGGAAAATAGCCTGAAAGGTGACTGGTTTGAGGGAAAACTGGAAACTCGCCAGAAACTGGGTAAACTTTAAACGTTCACAACTTCTTCAATACTCAACGAAATCAAGTGATTCAAAAACGAAAATCATACCTCCCGACGAAACAAAGAAAATGGTACCTTATGTAACATCCCACATCGCCCAGGGGTGAGGATCCTATACGCCTTAGATGTATATTCTCATCTCTACCTAGCACGAGGCCCTTCAGGAGCTCACTAGCTTCGGGGTCCATCGGAACTCCGAAGTTAAGTGAGTTTGCGCGAGAGCAATCCCAAGATGGGTGACCCACTAGGAAGTTCTTATGTGAGTTCCCAGAAACAAAACCGTGAAGGCGTGGTCGGGGCCCAAAGTGAACAATATCGTGCTACGGTAGAGTCGAACCCGGGATGTGGTGGGGGCTCGGGCTGGGATGTGACAATTTGGTATCAGAGCCACTATGCCGTTCGGTGCGAGTGTGCCAATGAGGATGTCGGACCCCTAAGGGGAGTGGATTATAACATCCCACATCACCCAGGGTTGAGGATCCTATAATCCTTATATGTATATTCTCATCTCTACCTAGCACGATATCGTGCTATGGTGGAGTTGAGCCGAGGATGTGGTGGGGGCTTGAACCGGGATGTGACACCTTAGCCATCAAGAAATGTACCGTTCTCTTTGTCTCGTCAGGAAGTATGATTTTTGTTTTTGAATCACTTGATTTCGTTAAGTATTGAAGAAGTTATGAACGTTTAAAATTTACCTAGTTTTGGACGAGTTTTCCAGTTTTTCCGTGGACTAGTCACCTTTCAGACTATTTTCCAGCCATCTCCGACAATTATTGGGCTTCCAAATAGGTATAATCTTGTTCTACACTTTCCTATCTTCATTTATATATATAATATATATATATATAGGTTGAATTTGGTTAAGAAATGATTGAGTTACGAAGCTTTGAAAATTGCCTAAACTTCCGGCCAAAAATCTCAATTTTCGGTATGAGCTCCTGGACCACTTTACGGAGTGACCAAAATAATGGATGGTGGACAATCTCAAAAACCATTTCCTATTAATTTTTAATCTCAAGAACCAAAGTTATGTGTTATGCAAATCTAAGGGACTATTTTGGCTAAAAAGCCTTTTCATTTTATCAAAAAATAATGTGGTGTTTGTATGTTACATTGAAAAAGTGTATAGTACTTTCACTTTTTGGGAAAAAAAGGCATACTTTAACTACTCATTAAGATTGTATGAAAAAAATAAAAATACATATGTATGATCATAAAACGTGTATTGAATCGCACTGTACTTTCATATCTCATCACCGCACCACCGCGAAGTACTCTTTGTTGGCTCAGATGGACAGAGGAAGCTAGGTTGGCCGAAATATATTTATTAGTTCAAACGTGGTGTGCCATTAAATTTTTTAGAATAAGAAAAGATGGAGAAAATTTCTCAAGCCAATATTCAAGTATCAAGCACATATCATGTGGTGTGCCATTAATTCTACACTTGATTTGTTAGAGATATTGGTTTGTTCTACTCATTTGCCACCTAAAACAAGATTCAAATCGTACTGTACTTTCTAAAATTAAAAAGTCGTCACTTAACTCCTTAAAAGTTGAATTCTATCTCAATTGGTCTTCTTTTCGTCTACTCTATCTACTATCGAATTAAATTGGGTTATGTGACTTTCAAGAAGAGTCCTACTAGACCCATCTCAGTGTCTTATTTCCCCACCCACATTATAATCCCACCCACCACAAAAAGTTAAAAACTTGAAATGTTATCTTCCAACCAACTATTATTCCTAAAATAACGTTTTATGTTAAAATTCTTTTTATTTTTATTGAGTAAAAGAAAATCTACAAAAACACGATTCAATTGATCAAGATGCACAACGAGGATCGCATCTATACAATATATTTTACACAATTCTCGGCTTTTTCTCCATCCTCCAGCAAGCCACCTGCCGCGAGAACATTATGTTCCACTTCATCTGCGCCTCTCACAACAATCAGTATGTGGATTGTGGATTGTGGACAGACAAGTCTTTATCCTAGTTTTCAAGGTTGTTTGCTGGTACTGACAACAAAAACAAACAGATCAAATAAAAATGGCCAAAGGTACCGGGGACTTGATTTTTTGAAGATTTAGAGTGGTGTGTTGTTCTAGAAGACGGGGAAGAACGAACCTGCCAACCTAGAGAGCAGTGGTTTTTCTTTTCTTTGGTCTTAGATGTCATTTTACAAGAGAGTAAATTAGGTATTAAATTTTTTTATTAACAAGTGGGTGGGAAAATAAGACAGTGAGGTGGGTTTATCACCACTCTTCAAAAATTAAGTAACAAATTTTTAGTTTCAAATAGAAAACGAATAATCAAAGGCAAGTCATAATCCTTACCCTAGAAAGAAGAAAAAACAAATGCCATTGATTTTTTTAGGTAAGATTTTATTTAATCTCTATTTACTACCCTCATGTTTTGTGGTTTTCAACATTTAGTTAATTAAGTTTTTCGTCCTAGAGTCATACCTAAAGTGTTAATTTTGGAACAGTCTCATATATCCATTAGTCAAACTGTTAAGTCTACCGTTAACTGATGACGCAACGCCTATGTGAACAATGGATAGACGCCTATGTGAACAATGGATAGATGTCACGTGTCATTAAAAATATTAACATAAATAATTAAATAAAAGTATTTATTAAAAAAACAAAAAAAACCCTACCCCCGCACACTTTCTCCCTCTATTCTCCCTCTCTCTCTGCTCTCCTCTTTGCTCTTGCTTCACTGGGCTTGGATGAAAAACCCAAGATTTTGCTCTGGCTGAGATGAAGAAATCAGTGCAAAAGCTTGGATCTTCCACTGTGGTAAGACCTTACTGAAACCACATACACATTCAATCATCAAATCTTTCAAGAAATTAAGAGAGAGAGAGAGAGAGAGTCCTCCGACACCATCGACAATGTCAAGGACAAGATCCAAGCCAAGGAGGGCATCCCCTCGGACCAGCAGCGCCTCATCGTCGCCCGCAAGTAGCTCGAGGACGGCCGAACCCTCGCCGACGGAGATGGAGATGTAGGGAGAGAAATCGGGAATGAAGATGGTGGTGAAGTTGAATCGGCGCCGGGTTGCGGCGATGGAGTCGACGAGGGTTCTGGCGGAGAGGAAGAAGAGACGACGATGGTGAATTGGACTAGGAGGAAAACGATAAGCAGAGGCGAAAGGAGTTCGATGAACCTCGACATTGCTGAAGGAGAAGGAGGCAGCGTCGACTCGAGGTGTTTGTTTCCTGAGAAAATGTGGATCTGATGGGAAAGTGAGAAGAGAGGAAGTTGAGATTTTGGGAAGCAGTTTTGAAATGGAGTGGAGGAGATCTAAATTTGAAAGGAGGAGACCCCGGGAGAAGGGAAAAAGGGGACGACCGAGATTGAAGGGGACGGCCGTGATTCAAATAAACCTAGTCGCTCTGGCGCTCCTCCAGCTGCTCCGCCGTTGCCTCCTATACCCGGACCAACGGCTCGCACAGCATCATGCGTCAGAGGGAGACGAGGGTTGGTGGTGGTTTGAGTTCAACATCGTCTTTCAATTTGAATTTTACTGAAGCTTTGAAAGTAATTGAATTGGGGTTTTCCTTTTGATCTGAAAGAACTGAACTTTAGGGTTTGAGAGTGGGGGATTGAATTGAAAGATTGGGTTTGGGGATGATTTGATCAGAATATTTTATTGTTTTGATTTGCAAAGGGTTTTGGGTTTTTTCCTTCTTGTCGTTGTTTTTTATTTTTAATAAATGCTTTTATTTAATCAATTATTTTAATAATTTTAATAACATATATGGCGCTCAGTTATTGTTTACATAGGTATTATATCATGAGTTAACGGCAGACTTAACATTTTGACTAACAGATGTATGAAAGTGTTCCAAAATTAACACTTTAATATAACTTTGAAACGAAAACAAACTTAATGTATTAAATGTTGAAAAATTAATGTATTAAATGTTGAAATCTACAAAATAGTAAAAAAAAAAAAAAAAAAAAAATACAAAATAACAAAACAAAACAAAGAAACAAACCAAAAATGAGAAAAATGAAAAAAAAGCGGCACTCGATCTCCTATGTATTGCAAGTGCGCGCACCTCCGGGCATTGGTTAAAAGAAACAGCAGAAAGAAAATGAAGGTTGGTCCGAAGGTAGTGTTTCTGCTGAGAGATTCAGAGGGCTTCGGCGAAGCCATCTCAGCTGCTTTCCGCCCAAATCCAAGCAATTCTACTGTGTAAGATCTCTTCCTATCAACCCTTTTAAGTTTGAGATCAAGTTCATATTATATCGATTAATTTCGGTGCGCCAATTTGTCGCAGAGAAGAAAGTTTTGAGCTTTCATTGGAGCGCTATGGAATCCAAAATTGCAAAGCTTCTGGAATCCTTTGCCACTTCCTCGATCCCCAGGGCCAATATGAGGTTCCCCTTCTCTCTCTCTCTCTCACGGAATTGTTTAGGACCCAGAAACGGGTTTGTATTCGTATAGATTCTGCCTCGTATAGATTAGATTCTATGTGGGATTTGGGTGTTGAGAAATGGGTCGTGTATTCTCTAATGGAATGTGTTCTGGTTTTTATGGTGAAAGTGAAATTTGTGACAATTTGGGGTATATATCTAAAGTGACTTGATTGCAGGCGTTTTTCAAAGAATGCTTGTAGATTTGGTTTCTATGCCCATAGTGGTAGAGACCCATTAAATTACTTTGTAAAAGTTTTGTTCCTTTGTGTTTCAGAACTCATGCTGTGATGATAACAGTGGAAGGTTCCACATTATTTTTTTATGCAGTTTTCTGTTTTTCATAAAGTTTATCGATCTACCACTGCTCTGAAATGCTTTAGTTGTTAGGGTGTGCGCCAACAGCTTTGATATTGTGTTTAAGTTTGTCGGTTTATTACTATTTCCAACGGCTTGAGTTACTAGGACAGAGTGAATAACTATTGTATTTATCTTCTAACATATCTTGAAGATAACAGATTAGGGGAACTTTATAAAAAATTTCTCTTCAATTTTGTATTTTTCAGGTGTCTGTGTTGCTTATGGAATGCTATGAACCGCCAATACTAGCCTGTGCTATTAATGAAGTTCTAGCACAATTAGCAGGGCAGAATTCATCCTCAGTTCCTACAGTCATTGCCCCGTTTTTCCTAGAGTCATCCAAGCTAAAGGGGGAAAGTAAATCTGCAACAAAATTTGAAAACAAATGCTCACTTTATGGTATAGAGATTGGTTCAGAAACAGCCATAAGCAAGGCTATGGCAACCAAAACCCAGAAGCCATCGCCATCCTTGCAGATTAATCATGAACCTTTGGCTTGCTTTCTTCAGTTGGTCCGTGTTTTGAAGTTGCCAACATATGTTCTTATCGGGCAAACAGCTCAACGCATTTCTGGTAAAGAAGAGTTTCAGGTATACAGTCTTTTTTATTACTTTATCTAATGCAACGGTCAACATTCAGTTTACCTAGAATTGTTGTGACATATGATTGAATTCAAGTTGGGTTTGGAGGCCATGATAGGATAGTAATTTGTATTTCTACGATTTGCTTGAGAGATGAATGGGAAAATTAGTGTATGCTCAGTTTCTCCATGTTCCACTGCTGAAAGTAAGTCAGTTAGCCTTGTTTCTTTCTCTTCCTTTTAGTTCTCTATGAATCTGTCTGTTTCCCGAGTGTGTATATTGTCTAACTCTAGATGGTTTCTTTTTCAGATCCTTTATGAGATTGGAGAAGTTTTAGCAAGCACTTTGAACCTTTCCTTTTCAAGAGACAAGATCACATGGAATCCAACAAGAAAATCAAAAGACGATGGGGAGCCATGGCGTGCATTATATGGTTAAACCTCTACTGTCTCTGACATCAGAGGTTGAGACAAGATCCATCGTCGGGTGCATCAGGTTGAAAAAACTTTCAGTTCTTACTGTGATTGATAGATCTATGTTCAACATCATAGTGCTTAGACGTAAAACTACTTCATCTGGATCCCAGTTTGTGAACTGGCCATGAAGATAGTGAAATGGCTTTTGCTACAATTTAAATTTACTTATGGCTTTTCGTTTCCTTTCTTTGTTGGTTTCATTAGTGAGCTGGTCTATTGTCTTAAATATGATGGGATAGTCCGAATGATTACTTCATGTGCTCATCCTGTTAGGTGCCTTGTGTGGTTCTTATTCGAACCTGTAATGTACGTAGTAACTACAATCAAATCATTCATCATACAATAAAAACGAATCATTCAATACACAAAAACAAGACGTCATTTAGTAATACGGTCTAGTGATATTTCTTTTCACGTGTAAGTGAGAGGTCTTAATATGTAATTCATCGAATCAATTACACCTCAAATTTTTGGATCCCACATAAACAGATACAATAAGAAATATAAAATAATGAAATACCTTTATAACTAACGTTTCACATTCCTATTAAATATTCCTTTTCCGTAAGAAGAAACAGTAATTTTAACTAGGAGGGGGAATTGCGTCCAAGCAAATAAAGTGACTGGAACACTTGAAAGAAGTATGGTTGGAATCACAATCCAGGACTGTCCACGAACTATAATTAGAAGGGCAGTAGAAAACGCAATCATCATGGTTGCAATAGCCAAGAAAAGAGTGGCAAGACCAATTACCATCTTTGTGGGTAAGGACTTCAGGAAATCGTCTTCTGCAAAACGCGACGTGAGAATTCCGAGAAACGTTAATGTTGCAGTCGTGGAAGAAAATAGTGATATAGCATCTGAAACTATAAACAACATAAACAATTTTTCACTGATGAATATGGGAAAGCCGGTATCTCCACTTCCTCCCGGAATTGTGATTATTGCCGCAAACATGATGGTAATAATAAGAGCACCTACAACAGTGTAAGAAGTTGCTGCCTCTTTCATCCATTTTTCTCCCTCCCTTAGTAATGCGCTGTGATTCTTTGTAAATAGTTCCCTTGGTGTCAAACGTTCATCTCTGTTCCTATACTCAAGAAACTTAGGAGGTACAATAGTCTCTACTTCCTGCATTGCATTGAACAACGGGTACTGACATATGAGAGCATAAAATACAATTTTCTATTATCTTTATTATATTAGGATTAACTACCTACATTTTACATTCCAAGATTTGTAACTTGTGTTAGGTTGTGTTAACTTTAACATTTGTACTGACATATGAGAGCATCTACAATTGGTCACGATGTTCAATTTTAACATTTTACGCATTAAGGTTTAAAGATTGTGTTAATTTTACAACTTGTGTTATGTTTAACATCTGCTCACAATAAATCAAAAAAGGAAATAACTAACTCTTTCAAAATGCAGATCCTTTAATGCAAGAAACTTTTTAGGAAAACAAACTAAGATTGACACCTAGTAAGTGGATAAGGGGACTTGTAAATCAGTTGGTTAAGAGCATTTTCCCGAAGTATCCAATCCAATTCTTCCCTCCCTACCCCAGCACCTAATAGTTGATGCTGGATTTGGATGATTATTACAAAAAGGGAAAGCAAATCCAGAACCTCCCGAACACTTATTTTGATTCTTTCAGTTTATATGGCATATAGGCAAAGTAATCAAGAATTATGTCGAGTGAGAAATCCTCACCTTGTACCATTGTAGTTCACGCTGCATCTGCAATGCTGCACCTGGAATACGATTAAGTTGTGCACGTGGGGACAACAACCCAGCCATATGTAGCTTGTTATTATCACTGTGATCGACAAGATTTGAGATCCAGTCTTTCGCAGAGATCCCATATAAAAGGTTATAAATCTTTTCTTGACGACATTCGATGGCAAAGTCAAATATGCCCCTTGACATGTGATTTGCTGACCACACAAGTTCAGGATTTGCTTTACATATACGAGTAATAAACTCCACATTTCCCTCACTAACAGCACTGAAGATTGATGGACGCACAGGGGAAGAATTCATTTGTTGCATGTCGAAGTCTTTTATCTCTTCGCACATGAGCTTTAAAAATGCAAGTGAGCGGACATGGACAATCTTCATTTCATATATGCGTTTGATTCCTGAGTTGACATTTAAAACCCAAATGTTTAGAACATAAACTGCATGCTTTGGAATGATTGATTTGAATTCAAATTTAAATTTACAACAAAAGAAATTGCGACAAGCATACCAAGTATCTCAACGATTTTCAATACAAGCCCTTCCTTTTGTTGTTTTGATTGAGAAACAAGCCCTTCCACTAAACCTTCGACTGCAATGGAAAAAAATGTTGGTGAAACTTATGAGCATGTTGTCATATGTACGACCAACCTAATGGAACTTGCATAATGGAAATCCAATGTGTGTAGACCAAGAAGGGTTTCAGAGGAGCCACTTTGACTAACAGTTAACTTTTCAACCAACTAAATATAGTAGTCGTTGGACTTGCAAATCGTGGGAGAGGAAGGGGATAACAAACCTGAGCGAATTAAACTCCTTCCGTTATTAGCATGGGAATTTTCTTCATTTTGAACAGTTACAGAAATGTGATCGACGCGAGGAGGAGGTTGTATGACTATGCCTATCAAGACAAGCAAATATGTCATATAAAAGTGAAGGCAAATAATTAATAGAACGAGAAGGGAGTATGTGGTACACTAACGGTCATAAACCCATTGCTGCCAGAAATTGAGCTCCGCTCCGCTCGGGAATGAAGAAGCCTGACTAGCCAAAGCTCCTAAAGGGGTCAAATTTCTCTTGCCAAAAGTAATGGTCAATTTTGGGCAAATTTTCGAAAAATAATTAGTTTGCTAGAGTAAATTGTAGTTATGGAAAAAAGGAGTCAGCGATAGTCAGAGTAAACTATTTATCTTTTAGGTCACGAATTGATAATTATTTCATTTTCAGTTTTTGTAATCACATTTTTAATTTGAAAACCAAAAACCTGTTTGATAAATACTTTTAATTTTCAGTTTCAAAAAAAAAAAAAAAAAAAAAAACGGAAAGCTACTTTTTTTGTTTTTTAGTTTTCAAACATTGAAATTCATCAGTCTTTTTTTTTTTTTTAATTTTTTTTTTTTTAATTTAAAGAAATTTGAAAGTGGTATACCAAACAACTGAAATGATTATCAAACCAACCCTTAATTTCATTTTTGTAGTCCTCAACAGCGAGTCATTACTCATATTTTAAATTCTTACCAAGTTCTTTGGATGAAAAGCTGTGGGAGATTATTGTAGCGCCATGAGGTCCTTTGTCTGGCATTAAATCTTCAACTGGAGTGACGGAGTAGAGATATCGAGCCATATGCCAATGATTATAAATATAAGCGTTCACAACTGGAAGCACGTTGAAAGCATCAGGAATGCTGAGTAATTTTTTGTTCTTTGTTACCATGCATTCAGCCATTTCGGTAATCCCTTTGATTGCAGCAATAGCAAGAGCTGTCCAATCACCGATTGTTGAATTTATTTCCAGGTCTTCCACTTCCATCAACGACACCAATTCTTTCACAATATCCACATGCCCAGCATCAACTGCAATGTGAAGAGCTGTCTTACCAGAAAATGGAATCCTTGCTCTTACTGCCTCGGGATGTTGGATGTGAAACTCCTTTGCAGTTTCCCAATCACCAGCTCGCACAGCCTCAAAGAAACGTTTATACTGACTGTATTCAAATCCTGTCAAATTTGTCTTGTTTTGTTATTGTTAATTTCCCCTTATTTCTTTAGTTTTATGCATGAAATAGTTAAACTTCAGTCTTAGAAACGATGGAAGATAATGTTATGGGTTCCTTGTTATTTTAACTTTTTAATGAAGTTATATGAAATTATATGATAAATAAAAAATTATATGGGATCATTGTAATTAACACTCCAAAGTGTTGGGAAAATAGAGCACTGCTGTATTTAATCACAAAGAAAACAATGGTTGATGCACATGAATATGAATATGGTTACAAATATATGAAATTTACGGTAAAATTAGACATTATATGTCCTTGAGATAATTTGCATATTACTACAATGCTCATGAATTGACGTATGTGTGATTGTGCGAGGGAAAAACGATCCCGATACGAATGGAGGAGGCTCATTTACAGTAAAATCTCTATATAGTAAGAATGTTATGACCAAACCAATTTTATAAGTATAGGAAGGTTATTACTTAATAAAGGTGTATTAAAACAATTACTTCTTATTCTTAATGAAAGTTATGTGGATAGTACAAAAAATCACATTAGTAGTGGAGCATACCAATTTTGAAGATGTAACATTAGAAAAAGAGTGACCTAATCTCTAAAAGCTGGTACATATATGTAACAATAAATTATTAGGTTACTAATTGATTTGCCTCCTAAAACTGTTATTTAGTCTTACTTTACCCCATGATATTGTCATTGAGAGACGAGCAATATCTTTAATGGGCTTAGAGCTAACGGAGTCGTGCCAGACTACTCTGGCCTGTGATAATCCGATTTGGAATACCCATGTAACTCCGATCTCATTCTGAGGACTTTCTGGCCATTCCAACCACCTTGAGTGCCGTATGTTGTGGGCCCAAAAATTTATGGTCTCATACACCCTAAATTAGAGCTTTCTATTAGGGATGGACTTTTTTGCCAAATTGTTGTGCCAACCGTAAAATACTGATTTTGTGCCAAATTTGTGTGAATCGGTAATGACACGGTATTGTGCCGAACCAAAATGTTTTGGTAATATTATTCTAACCAAACTATTCGGCAATACCGAACTTCAGTATATCGAAAGTTGGTACGCTAATGTTAATAGACAATATTCTAAAAATTGGCCTAGGCAAGGCCTAAGTGCTAGGCAATGAAGTGCCAAAGCTATTTGGACCAAATAGGGTAGGAGTTAGGCGCCCACCTAGACATTCTCTAGGTGGTCTAGGTAGCCTAGATGGTAAGCAAGGCGGTAGTTTTTTTATTTTCAAGCATACTGACTCTATGTTATATAATATTTTAATGAACATGTTATAATGTTATATAGTATCTAATTATTAATTTTTTGTTAATACATGTATTGTGGTTTGATATTATATTTTTTAGAGTATCATTTTAAAATTTTCTAGTTTGACTACAAGAATGTCATTGCGAACTAAAGATACTAATGGCATAATGATTAAGAGCACGTTTACATAAGGGTAACGAGAATAAAAAAACGGAATTGAATTCCGATTACAGATTACTTCGGTGTTTATTAAATATTGGAAAATCAATTGTGTGGTGGACCCCACCTGAAACAATGAATGCAATTCATGAAATTGGAGGAGTGGGATTCTCTGGATAGATGAGGTATTTGAATTCTAGGAGGGTGAGGGAATCAGGAATGCATTTTTTCTTCCTATTATGCCCTCATTCACATTATGCACAACTCCATGCATATGCCGAAGAGAAGGAACTGCAATTTGAACGAGAAAATTTAAATATTAAAGTAAATACTTAAATTTATAAAAAAATAAATAAATAAACAAAAGCATTTTTGTGTGTTTATGAAATAAAATAGCAATTTTTTTCCTTACTATTATATATTGTATCAAATTTTATTAAAAAAAGTATATAAAATATTTGATTTGGGACAAGGGCATTTTAGTAATCATACTGGTTTATATTCCGATTTTGCTAAATTAGTAAACATCTTTATGGAATTAGTGTCATTTCTATTCTGATTCCAGAACATTTAAGGGTTGGTTTGGTATTGTTGTGCTTTGAAAAAAAAAAAACTACTTCTGTTGTGCTGTGAGAATAAGCAGCTGTGAAATAAAGCAGCAGAGTGTTAAGTAAACTTTTTTTTGTAACATCCACATCGCTCAGGGGAGTGAATCCTGTAAGCCTTATATGTATATTCTCATCTCTACCTAGCACAAGGTCTTTTGGGAACTCAATCGCTTCGGGTTCCGTAGGAACTTCGAAGTTAAGCAAGTTCGCGCGAGAGCAATCCCAGGATGGGTGACCCACTGGGAAGTTCTCATGTGAGTTCCCAGAAACAAAACTGTGAGGGCGTGGTCAGGGCCCAAAGCGGACAATATCGTGCTACGGTGGAGTCGAGCCAGGGATGTGGTGAGGGCCAGGGCTGGGATGTGACATTTTTGTAAAAGTGCTTTTGAAAGAAAAAAAAAAGCAGTATTATAGTGTTTGATAAACTTTTATGTAAAACAGATATGAAAAAAAGCTGGTTTTTCAAAGCTGGGTTTTGCAGCTTTGTGTCTTTGGCTTTTTTTTTTTTCACCAAAAAACTGAAGCTAAATGTTTACTAAACATAAAAAAGTTCCCAGCTTTTTTTGATAGCCACTTTTTTCAGAATCACCTCAGTACCAAACTAGGACTAAGTATACAGCTTTAACAGGAATTCGATTCTGACTTCTCCTCATTCCAACTCCTCCTCAATTCAATCCTCCTATTTTTATTACGGTTACGTAAACATACCATAAGTCTATTGGCTAAAAACCCCAATATTTTATTTCAGAAGCTCACTCTGGAACGTTGTATTCCTCAAAACATCCAACTGAGCTGTACTCAGTACCACTATATTCTTCATACCCATTAATGTCAACTCTACTATGAAAGCCACAGTGTCCCTGAGTATCGATATATCTATCGATATTTTTATAAATTTGTATATCGATATTTCATCGATATCAATATTTCAAATACAGTAGATGATACACAAACGTGGTCTAAAAATGTAGCAGAGTACATCTACGAAGATCAAATTTGCAAACCAAATGAGTAGATATTGATGATTGCATTATTATTTAAGTATTGATTAACATACTTATTTCCTATTAATGACATATCATTTAATTTGTAAATTTAGTTAAAAAAATTAATTTCCCTATCATTATCCAATATAGTATTATAGCATTTTCTTAAGAAAAAAGTACAGACGATTATTTAATTAGATAATGAAATAGGAAATTATTATTTGTTTTTTCCTGTTCTTTTGGCAAGGAGAGACACACCTTGTGGCCCTGTGCTTGTGTTGGGCACTGATGGGTGTAATGATGGCTCCCAAACACCTTGAGGCCCTGTGCTTGTATTGGGCACTGATGGGTGTAAAGATGGCTCCCAAACACCTTGTGGCCCTGTGCTTGTATTGGGCACTGATGGGTGTAACCATGGCTCCAAAACACCTTGTGGCCCTGTGCTTGTATTGGGCACTGATGGATGTAACGATGGCTCCCAAACACCTTGTGGCCCTGTGCTTGTATTGGGCACTGCTGATGGATGTAACCATGGCTCCCAAACACCTTGTGGCCTTGTGCTTGTATTGGGCACTGATGGATGTAACCATGGCTCCCAAACACCTTGTGGCATGTTCTCCCAAACACCTTGTGCCATGTTCAACCTGTGATTCAGTGGAGCATATCATATCATATATCAGATTCATATATATTATCTAAACAAACAAAAACTTAGCAATGAAATTAAAGTCGTTAAATTACTACTTACGGATTGAAAGGAATGGGAGCCAACAAGCGGCAGCTAGTTAGTTATTAAACTCTAGTAAGTATGCAAATAAGCAATGAAACTAATAAGAAGAAAATTGGAGGAGAGTGGGAAGCTACTTAAAAATGAAGAGGTGGGCTGCTTTTCCTGGAATATTAAGGATTAACTGGACACGCAACCTCTGCTTAATATTGGTGTCATATTCCTACGTACATGCAAAGTTGGGCAAAACCTTGTTATTTACTGAAGAGGATTTAATAAGCAAACGCACCTAAAGGTCGGAGGAGTAATCATATGTAACCAATACAAAAGAATAAAAAAAGGGGGCAATAGCACGCTTTACAAAGTCAGGAAAGAAAGAACAAGGAGGTGACTTCAGCCCAGAGACCTCACGATTATCCTTTAGTAATTTTGGGGTTACTGGCAATCTATTTGTCTGTTTGTTTAAAATATTATTTCAGTAACTAGTGATCAAGGAACACATGGTTATTTATTTTTGTATCACATACGGAAGTGACCAAGAGATTAAGACTTTAGTATTTTTTACTTATGTCATATATTCTTAGTTGAAAGTTGACCCATAGAGTTAATTAGTCTTATTTTTATGTAACAATGACTTATTTAAACTAAGATTAGTAAATGATTTAGTACTGAATTTGTCATCCACAAGAGTCAAGTAAAAACGAATACCACTAAATTGTGTCTCCAATCTAAGATTTAATGGTTAAAAGTTATGAAGTCATATTTGACTCTAAATGTGGTGGTGCAAGTTATTTTATAGACAGTGCATATGAAGTCAAATTTGACTTTTAACTTTTAATTCTTGTAAATTGGAAGGAGTCTAGTCAAATTTAGAGACAAAATATAATTTTTGTATCTTATGTGCTGAGGATCCCACATTTAGAGCTATATCAAATGTTAAATATTACTTTGCACTTGAATCATGTATGAATATAACTCTTCCAGTACATTGGAGATATCTTATAGTTTTATTAATATATGTAGTAATATATATTCTCCACACCTGAAATGGCCTTGATTCACATTTTACGAATGGTGTAAATATGCTCATAGTCCAAGGTTTAATTTACACCTCTGATTTGGGGCATTTCGGCCATGATCTTGAGCTTTTCGCTCATACTCCCCCACAACTTTGAATCAATCCCCCAACCTTGCACGCCTATCACCGCATTTCCCCCTAGATTTGATGGATCTCATCTCAACACTGATTTGCTGCATTACGCGATCTTCTCTCTGATTGAAGACTATTAGTCATACATTATCAGGTGTCATTTCAACATGTGTTTAATTAGTGAACGAGTGATTACCTTAAGAGTTAATGTTGTTGTACAAGGTATTAAGTTGAAAACAAATCGGTTACTAAGAAATACAAGCAATTTATTCTTCTCTAAGTTTTCATTTCTTTCTTCTTCTTTTGTGATTCTTCTTCTTCTCTGTTACTGTTATGATGGTATTAACAAGCCAATCTGCACTCCAAGTAAAACGTGAGATAAAAGCTAATCTTCATCCCAAGAAATCATGTTCTTCAAGCTCCCAAACCTACTGTCAAACACGTTAATGATAAAAACTAGTTTTTTTTTTTTTTTTTCATGAATTGAACATGAAATTGAAGTTTGGAGGCACCACATGAGGAATGGCATATTAAATAACTAGTAAACCATAAGACAATTTTCAGGAGGTTTTGATTTATTTAAAGAAATATATTTAAAGTTTGATCTAAACCTAACATTGTATTGACTCAAGCATACGTGTCAAACGGATCGTCCGACCAAAATAAAACCCGGCCCAGCCTGTAGGTTTGGGTTGGCTAGGCCGAAAATTTTCAGCCCAACAACCTTTAATGTGGTGGACATCAAATGTTGCTTAAATATCTGGTGTATGATGCATGGAGCCCTAGTAGTACAAATTATCCTCACCCTATATTGTTAATGTAAATTTTTTTTTCTTCACATTTCTTGGTTACAGACTTACAGTAATGGGGTGGTCGATCGTGGACTCACATTTCTTGGTTGAGCTACAGTCGTTTGATTTGGCACGGGATTTGGTTGACCTGGCCTTTGTCCTTATTTCTCTGGAAGGATATACATTATTTGACTGTTTTCTGTTGAAATTCAGATTACATAAATAAATCGTTTGCAGAAAATAACAAAACGATGCACAGGGAATGTCGAATAAAATTTTATAATCTATCATATTATATTTTGCTGGAGGCTGTTTAGTTTGTGCGTTTGGAAGGAGGCAAATCCATTTTTTTAATTTTGAACTTCTGAAGCTCTGAGGGCATTTCCAGTAAAGTCTTTAAACAGGGACAAGCACTGATCAAATAAGTATAAAATAAATATAGAGATAAAATAAATTTTCAATAGATCGAAAAAGAAGTTCCTAAAATTCAGGAACTCACTAAATACTTGATGTATATATCTATATAAGAACTGAAATGGCGGATGGAAAAGTTGGCAATGCAAGAATATCTACGTTTAGATGTCGGTAAAATGGCTGGGAAGTAAATATATCCACTGCAAACTGCGAAGCAACAACTTGCACTTTGTAAAACAATATTTATATGTTACCCATGTCTATACGAATTGTGGGTGTCAGAACAATTTGGAATTTAGCCAATGGTAGTTTGTCATTTTCCCCCAACTTGTCAATCCCAGGTCACTCCTGTGATTGGAGAGATTTTTCAATATGATCAGCATACGAGATGGTATATTAAGTGTTATTATACAAATTGTGAGATATGTATGTTAAAATGTTAATACCTTAAAAAAATAAAAAATTCTATCACTTACGTAAAAACACATAATGTATAGATTCCATCACAATATATATTTTTTTTTCTGCCATCGAATAGATCCGCCCCTTTTCCCCACTCATTGGTTTGTTGATAGAATATTCTCTCCATATTTTTTTTCTTTTCCTTTGTTATGTATATGCCAAAATGGATTTTTGTAAACAAATAGTAATAAAAATTTCTCTCACTATCAGCGCTGGAAACGAAGTGATATACACAAAGAAAGTAAGATATGGGAAGAAGGTGAGGTTAAGAGAGTAAAATACCTAACATTTGGCCTTGATGTAGATCCGGCATGCCGGTTGAGGGAGGGGAAGTGAGGGAGGGAAGTGGATCTGATATCCAATTTTAGATCAGAAATTGAGCATATGGTAGGATGGAGATAAAGTATCACAGCCGAGGAGGGAGTGAGGGAAATTAAAAGTCAGTAAAAACAGGCGAAAAACGCCGAATAAAAGGCATGAAGCCTAAGATAGTTGAGACTCGGCTGAAGGAAAACTGATATTAATCTCAAGAAAGAGTGAGATTATCTTAATTTGACCCTTTGGATGGCGGCAACAGAGATAATGAGACTGATTTGTACCAGATAATCAATTAATTGAACTACGAAAGATAATGGAAGCACTGACAACACATTTGTAATTTTTTAAGGATGAAGTTAAGTTGAGAATTGAATGGAGTGAGTTTTAACGAAAAGTTTGCAGTCCTATTTATTTTAACGAAAAATCATATTTTTACATTAAAAAGTTAAATTTGGTACTATTTATTTTACCCTTTATTTTGTCCTTATCGTTAAAACTCAAAATTTTCAAATTTTTTTCATTAGTTTTCTCCAAATGGAAGGTGGCGGCATCCCATGTCGACTAAATTGTGTAAAATGGGTTGACTCATTGAATGATATATCAATTTGGGTTCGGCCGGCTTGCAATACCGCAACCCGTGTAATATTAGCCCTGACAACGGGTTTGTAATATTGCAACCCGGGAATTATTTTTTTGGGCCCAACCCAATTCAAAGCTTCTGGAATCCTTCGCCGATTCGTCGATCCCCTGGGCCAATACGAGGTTCCCCTTCTGCCTTCCTCTCTCTCTCTCTTATGGAATTGCTTAGGACCCAGAAACGGGTTTGTAGTCGTATAGATTATGTCTCGTATAGATTAGATTCTATGTGGGATCTGGGTGTGAGAAATGGGTCGTGTATTTTCTAATGGAATGTGTTCTAGTTTTTATGGTGAAAGTGAAATTTGTGACAATTTGGGGTTTAGATTGTGTGTGATTGGAATCCACTCAGTGTTTTGTAAAGTGTGAGTAAATAACTATTGTATTTATCTTCTAACATATCTTGAAGATAACAGATTAGGGGAACGTTATAAAAAATTTCTCTTCAATTTTGTATTTTTCAGGTGTCTTTGCTGCTTATGGAATACTATGAACCGCCAATACTAGCCTGCGCTATTAATGAAGTTCTAGCACAATTAGCAGGGCGGAATTAATCCTCAGTTCCTACAGTCGTTGCCCCGTTTTTCCTAGAGTCATCCAAGCTAAAGGGGGAAAGTAAATCTGCAACAAAATTTGAAAGCAAATGTTCACTTTATGGTATAGAGATTGGTTCAGAAACAGCCATAAGCAAGGCTATGGCAACCAAAACCCAGAAGCCACCGCCATCCTTGCAGATTCATCATGAACCTTTGGCTTGCTTTCTTCAGTTGGTCCGTATTTTGAAGTTGCCAACATATGTTCTTATAGGGCAAAGAGGTCAATGCATTTCTGCTAAAGAAGAGTTTCAGGTATACAGCTTTTTTATTACTTTATCTAATGCAACGGTCAACATTCAGTTTGCCTAGAATTGCTGTGACATATGATTGAATTCAAGTTGGGTTTGGAGGCATGATAGGATAGTAATTTGTATTTCTACGATTTACTTGAGAGATGAATGGGAAAAATAGTTTATGCTCAGTTTCTCCATGTTCCACTGCTGAAAGTCAGTCGTTTGGCCTTGTTTCTTTCTCTTCCTTTTAGTTCTCTATGAATCTGTCTGTTTCCCAAGTGTACGTATATTGTCTAACTCTAGATGGTTTCTTTTTCAGATACTTCATGAGATTGGAGAACTTTTAGCAAGCACTTTGAACCTTTCCTTTTCAAGAGACAAGATCACATGGAATCCAACAAGAAAATCAAAAGACGATCGGGAGCCATGGCGTGCATTATGTTGTTAAACCTCTACTGTCTCTGACATTAGAGGTTGGGACAAGATCTATCGTCGGATGCATCAGGATGAAAAAACTTCAGTTCTTACTGTGATTGGTATATCTATGTTCAACATCATAGTGCTTGGACGTAAAACTACATCTGGATTCACAGTTTGTGAACTGGCCATGAAGATAATGAAATAGCCTTTGCTACAATTTAAATTTACTTATGGCTTTCGTTTCCTTTCTTTATTGGTTTCATTAGTGCACTGGTCTATTGTCTTAAAGATGATGGGATAATCTGAATGATTAGTTCATGTGCTCATCCTGTTGGGTGTCTTGTGTGGTTCTTATTCGAACCTGTAATGTAGTAACTACAATCAAATCATTCATCAAACAATAAAAACGAATCAGTCAATGCACAAAAACAAGATGTCATTTAGTAATACAATCTAGTGGTGTTCCTTTTTCTTTGTAAGTGAGAGGTCTCACATAAACCACCAATTTATTCCTTCATGTATAATCCATTGAATCAATTACACCTCTCATTTTAGGATCCCACATAAACAGATCTATACGATCAGAAATATAAAATAACGAAACACCTTTACACCCAACGTGTCACATTCCTATTAAATATTCCTTTTCCGTAAGTAGAAATGGTAATTCTAACTAGGAGGGGGAATTGCATCCAAGCAAATAAAGTGACTGGAACACTTGAAAGTAGTATGGTCGGAATCACAATCCAGGACTGTTGACGAACTATAATTAGAAGGGCTGCAGAAAACGCAATCATCATGGTTGCGATAGCTAAAAAAAGAGTGGCAAGACCAATTATCATCTTCATAGGTAAGGACTTAAGGAAATCATCTTCTGCGTAACGTGACGTGAGAATTCCGAGAAACGTCAACGTTGCAGTCGTGGAAGAAAAGAGTGATATAGCATCTGAAATCATAAATAACATAAACAATTTTTCATCGATGAATGCAGGAAAGCCGGTATCTTTGTTTCCTCCAGGAATTGTAATTACTGCAGCAAACATGATGGTAATAATAAGAGCACCTACAACAGTGTAAGAAGTTGCTGTCTCTTTCATCCATTTTTCTCCCTCCTTTAGTAATCCACTGTGATTCTTTGTGAATAGTTCCCTTGGTGTCAAACGTTCATCTTTGTTCCTAAACTCAAGAAACTTAGGAGGTACAATAGTCTCTACTTCCTGCATTGCATTGAACAACAAGTACTGACACATGAGAGCATAAAATATAATTTTTTATAATCTTTATTATATTAGGATTAACTACCTACATTTTACATTTTAAGATTTGTAACTTGTGTTAGGTTGTATTAATTTTAATATTTGTACTGACATATGAGAGCACCTACAATTGGTCACGATGTTCAATTTTAACATTTTATGCATTAAGGCTTTAAGATTGTGTTAATTTTACAACTTGTGTTAGGTTGAACATCTGCTTACAATAAATCGAAAAAGCAAATAACTCTCTTTCAAAATGCAGCACCTTTAGTGCAAGAAACTTTTTAGGAAAACAAACTAAGATCGATACCTAGTAAGTGGATAAGGAGACTTGTAATTCAGTTGGTTAAAAGCATTTTTCCAAAGTGTCGAGTCCAATTCTTTCCTCCCTCCCTAAGTACCTAATAGTTGATGCTGGATTTGGATGATTATTACAAAAAGGGAAAACAAATTCAGAACCTCCCGAACACTTAATTTGATTCTTTCAGTTTATATGTCATACGAGCAAAGTAATCAAGAATTATGTCGAGTGAGAAATCCTAACCTTGTACCATTGTAGTTCACGCTGCATTTGCAATGCTGCCCCTGGAATACGGTAAAGTTGTGCCTGTGCAGATGGGGACAACAACCCAGCTATATGTAGCTTGTTATTATAATCTTTATCGGCAATATTTTCCACCCAGTCCTTCGCAGAGATCCCATATATAAGGTTATAAATCTTTTCTTGACGACATTCGATGGAAAAGTCAAATATGTCCCTTGAATTGTCATTTGTTGACCACAGAAGTTCAGGATTTGCTTTGCATATATGAGTAATAAACTCCACGTTCCCCTTACAAACAGCTTGGAAGATTGCCAAACGCACAGTGGGATAACTCATTTGTTGCATATCCAAATCTTTATTTATCTCTTCGCATATGAGCCTTAAAAATGCAAGTGAGCGGACATGGACAATCTTCATTTCATATATGTGTTTGATTCCTTAGTTGACATTTAAAATCCAAATATTTAGGACATAAACTGTTTTGAATAATTGATTTGAATTCAAATTTACAACAAATGAAATTGTTACCAACATACCAAGTATCTCAACGATTTTCGAAACAAGCCCTTCCTTTTGTTTTTCTGAAGGGGAAACAAGCCGTTCCACTAAACCTCCCACTGCAATGGAAAAAATGTTGGTGAAACTTATGGAGCACACCCATCAAGGGCACATATAATAGTTTAATTGCTGCACTGTTACTATTGATAGATGGGATCAGAACCTGGTAAAGTCGCATGTGCTATCAATATTTTCGAAAGATGGTTGTGGGTGAATCCGAATCATGCAATCATCTTCTCTAGTCAGTAAGTGCTATAAAGTCCAAATGGGTAATCATGACATGATAAATTCGCCAGCAGCCCAAGTGCTGCCAGGTCGAGGAAGGAAGAAGAATATGGGAAAAATTTCATATTCGGGTTTTATTGTGTGAATTCTCTATGCAAACCCTGAATTTTAAAAGTAAGGAATTTGTGAGAATTCAACCAATGCTTATCTCCCAAATTATAAATATTCTTGGAGTCCTATTTTAGGTAGGATTAGAATTTGTCTATTATGGACTACAACCTTTCTCCTGGTTGCCTAGTGTTCATATATATAAATAGCCAAGTTAAACAGGGAAAATGGTAATCGCCACTTACATCTCAAAACTCTCTCAAGTTTATAGTTTCTCTCAAAATGCTTTTTCGGACTTAGGCATCGGAGGCCCTTTGGTGGATATATTCCCTCCTTTTTTGGGTGTTTGTCAATTAGATTAATGATGTACCTTGATTTGTAGGTGGAATTTTGTTAATTCAATTGCATGAAATTTGCATCCATAGTGGCGAAGATGATGGTAACATGGGTGAGGGTGTGGTTAATAATAATGGCGGTGGAAATGGTGATTATGAGGTAGTAGAATTGGTGAAGGCGGTGATGGTGGAGGTGGTTGTGGTCGTGGCGGCTCAGTGATGGTGTGGTGATGGGAGATACTAGTGATGATAGGTGTAGGATCTAGTGGCAATGATGCCTGGTAGTGGAGATATGGCGGTATGGATGCTATTTGCGATGATCATTGTAAGGTGGTAGTGGGGGAGTAAAAGATTTTTCTTTTTGTTCTTAAACCTCTAACCTTGTAAGGTGGATAACCCAAATTAGATCGTACCATTTATACAACATTTTTAACTTGTTAATGATGGGAGAGGAAGGGGATAACAAACCTGAGCCAATTAAACTCCTTCCGTTAGTAGCTTGGGGATTTTCTTCATTTTGAACAGTTAGACAGATATGATTGATGCGGGGAGGAGGTCGTACGTATAGACCTATCAAGACAAGAAAATATGTCATATAAAAGTGAAAGCATATAATTAATAGAAAGAGAAGGGAGTATGTGGTACACTAACAGTCATAAACCCATTGTTGCCAGAATTTGAGCTCCGCTCCACTCGGGAATGAAGAAGCCTCTCTAGCCAAAATTTCTAAAGGGGTCACCGTTGAGTAGGCCCGAGTAACGGCCAATTTTGGGCAACGTTGAATTAAATCCCATGAGATATCTGTTTATTTTTCACGTTACGATTTTTTCAAAAATAATTAGTTTGCTATAGTAATTTGTAGATTTTGGAAAAAAGAGTAAACTATAGCTAAATCATAAGCTATTTATTTTTTCAAGTTGCGAATTGATAACCATTTCGTTTTCAGTTGTTGTAATCACGTTTTTAATTTGAAAACCAAAAACTCGTTTGATAATTATATTTAGTTTTCAAGTTTCAAAAAAATAATAAAAAAAATTGAAGGCCAATTTTTTTTTAGTTTTCAAAATATTAATTTTAGTTTTCATTTTTTTTTTTGGGAAAATTGGAAGTTGTTTACTAAACAACTCAAATGATTATCAAACGAACCCTTAATTTTCATTTTTGTAGTCCTCAACATCATGTTAATACTCATATTTAAAAACTTTTACCAAATTCTTTGGATGTAAAACAATTGGAGATTATTGCAGCGCCATGAGGTCCTTTGTCTGGCATTAAATCTTCAAGTGGAGTGACAGAGTAGAGATATCGAGCCATATGCCAATGACCATGGAAATAAGCTTCCACAATTGGAAGCTCGTTGTTTGAATTGGGAATGCTGAGTAATTTTTTGTTCTTTGTTACCATGCATTCAGCCATTTCGGGAATCCCTTTACTTGCAGCAATAGCAAGAGCTGTCCGACCACCCTGTGTTGCTTTTATTTCCAAGTCGTCCTCTTGCATCAACGACACCAATTCTTTCACAATATCCACATGACCAGCATCAACTGCAATGTGAAGAGCTGTCTTCCCAGAAAATGGATTTCTTACTCTTACTACCTCCGGATGTTGGATGTGAAAGTCCCTTGCAGTTTCCCAACGACCAGCTTGCACAGCCTCAAAGAAAGGTTTGTACTGACTATATTCAAGTCCTGTCAAAATTTATTTTGTTTATTATTATTAATTTCCTCATACTTGTTAAGTTTTATGCTTAGTTAAAAACTTCAATCTTAGAAACCATGGAAGATAATGTTTATGGGTTCCTTGCTATTTATCTTTTTAATGAAGTTGTATGAAATTATATGACAACTAGAAAAATAATATGGGATCATTGTGATTAACACTCCAAAGTGTTAGGAAAATAGAGCACTGAAATTTAATCACAAAGAAAACCAAGAAATCATTCATGCCATTAATTAAATACACTGTTTCAATATGTTCAAACAAGGCTTTTTAACCAAAATAATCCCTGAGATTTGCAAACTTTGGTTCCTGAGATTAGAAATCAACGGAAACGGGTCCCTAAAATTGTTCACCATCAATCATTTTGGTCATTCGGTGAAAAATCATGTTAAATAAGGATCAAAATAACAAAAAAATACTCTCAATTTAAAAAACAATAGGCCAAAATGATTTGACAAAATTTGAGGATATTTTTGTCATTTTATTCTTATTTTATGGAGATTTTTCATGGAATGACTAAAATGATTGTTTGTGGATAAATTCAAGGACCAATTCCGTCGATTTCAAAGCTCAAGAACCAAAATGAGGAGTTATGCAAATCTCCGAGACCATTTTGGCTAAAAAGCCTTCAAACAATAAAAAATAATGCTAAATGCACATGAATATGAATATGAATATGGTTACAAATATATCAAATTTACGGTAAAATTAGACATTATATGTCCTTGAGATAATTTGCATTTTACTACAATGCTTATGATTGATTACGGGCGTGTGATTGTGCATGGGAAAAGTGATCCCAATATGATTGCAGGAGACTCATTTACAGTAAAATCTCGATATAGTAATAATGTTATGACAAAACCAATTTTATAAGTATCGGAAGATTATTACTTAATAAAGGTGTATAAGAAAATGACTTAGATATCCTTAATGAAAGTTATATGGATACAAAAAACGATATTAGCAGCAGAGCATGCCAATTTTGAAGATGTAACATTGGAAAAAGAGTCACCTAATCTCTAAAAGCTAGGACTATATGTAACAATAAATTATTTGCTTATTAATTGATTTCCCCCCTTGAAACTACCATTTAGTCTTACTTTACCCCTTCAAAATGGTTTTGTCTCACTATGCCCCTGAAATTGCCATTTTTTGTCTTATTTAGTTTCAGTTCACTCTATTTTCGTACATATCAAAAAAGGTGTAGGTGCAGTCATTGGATTCATTGAGTGGATTGAATTAGATTTGAAACACAACCCATTATTTGCTTTTGTCAACAGTTGCAGCTAAAGCTCCACAAAAATCCATAAGAGAGACAAACGGGGTTTAAATTAGAGTTATCAAAAATGGAATTGAGATTGTTTTAGTAGGCAAGTTGGAGGTAAAGAGTTGTGTCAAAAATAAAATGTCCATACTACCCTGTAGTTTAACGTCTATTTGACGGAATAAATGATAATGGGAGTGAATTGAAACTAAATGGGACAAAATCAGAACCAAAATCGCCAAATTAATTCAAGGAGTTAGATTTGTACATTGTATCAAATTAATTCAAGGATTTATATTTCTACATGGAACTAAAATCGCGCACATCTGCGGATGGAGGTGGAGATGAGTGTTACCCTTGCACTATGACGAGAGTTCAAACCCCATCGACTTATAATCTAACATCAAATCTAACAAATATATCGTTTGACAAAAGTGATTAAATGTGTTGGAATGGATTTTTCTGTTGATATTGTTTTCGTTTGAATTAAGTTATGTATTATGTGAAGATTAGATTATTTGAATTGTACATTAGTGGGATAAGATTCAGTAAAAAAAAAAAACAAAACAAATTTGTTGAATAAGGATTCCTTGAATCTAATCTCTTATCTGCGCAAAAGATGGACATGTTATGTAGTATTTAATCATTACTTTTTTTTTTTATTAATACATATATTGTGGTTTGTATGACATTTCTTAAAGTATTATTTTAAATTCTCACATTTTTTAGCAAATTTTTAACATTTTCATTGAAGACAACCGATATTGATATTTTCATAAATTTGTATTCAATGTTTCTACCTATATTGATATTTTAAATACTAGATGACATAAAAATATGGTATGAAAACATAGTATCCTAACATTTTCTTAAGAAAAAGGTATAGACCATTATTTAATTAGATAATGAAATAGGAAATGATTTTTTTTTTTTTTCCTGTTCTTTTGGCAAGGAGAGGCAGACACACCTGATGGATGTAACACGCGTGACATGGCCGCCGAAACACCGTGTGCCAAGGTCTCCCAAACACCTCGTGCCATGAAATTAATGTAGTCTACTTAATGTAGTATACTTACTACGTACTTACGGATTGAAGGGAATGGAAGCCAACAAACTGCAGCTAGCTAGTTATTAAACTCTAGTAAGTAAGCAAATAAAACAAAGGATCTAATAAGAAGAAAATGGGGGAAAGTGGGAAGCTACTTAGAAATGAAGAGGTGCATGGGCTGCTTTTCCTGGAATCATATTAAGGATCAACTGGACACGCAACTTCCGCTTGAATATTGGTATCATATTCCTAACATTAATGCAAAGTTGGGCAAAGTCTTGTTATTAACTGAAGAGGATTTAATAAGCAAACCTACCTAAACGTCGAAAGGAGTAATCAAATGTAACCAATACAAAAGAATAAAAGGAAAAAGGGGGCAATAGCCACGCTCAGAAAGCCAGGAAAGAAAGAAAGGGGAGGTGACTTGAGTCCAGAGCCCTCACGATTGTCATTTAGTATTCTTGGGGTTCCTGGCAGTCTATTTGTCTGTTTGTTTAAAAATATTATCTCGGTAATCAGTGATCAAGGAACGCATGGTTACTTATTTTTAGATTTGATATTAAGAATGAAGAATAAATAGATATGCTTTTAGTGTTTTAACCTCTACTCTTAGTATCACATCGGAGAGTGATCAAGAGATTGAGACTCAAGTGTATTTACTTATGTCATGTATTCTTAGTTGAAAGTTGACCCGTAGAGTTAGTCTTTTTTATGTAACGACTTATTTAAACTAAGATCAGTAAGGATTTAGTACAGAACTTGTCATCCCCAAGAGTCAATTAAGGACGAATAAATTGTATCTTCAATCTAAAACTTAAAGGTTAGAAGTTATGAAGTCATATTTGACTCCAAATGTGGTTGTGCAAGTTATTTTATATACAATGCACATGAAATCAAATTTGACTTTTAACTTTTAACTCTTGTAAATCGGAAGGAGTCTAGTCAAATTTAAAGACAAATATAATTTTTGTATTTTATGTGGTGAGGATCCCACATTTAGAGCTATATCAAATGTCAAATATGACTTTGCACTTGAATCATATATGAGTTTAACTTTTTCAATACATTGTAGATATCTTACAGTTTTATTAATATATATAGTAATATATACTCTGCACACCTGCGATGGCCCCGATTCATGTTAGGGAACGGCGAAGCAACCCACCTTTACAAATTGTGTAAATATGCTCATTGTTCAAGGTTTAATTTACACCTCTGATTTGGGGCATTTCGGCCATGATTTGGAGCTTTTCGCTCATACTCCCCTACAACTTTGAATCAATCCTCCAACCTCGCACGCCTATCACTGCATTTCCCTCTAGATTTGGCGGATCTCATCTCAACACTGATTCACTGCTTTACGCGAGCTTCTCTATGATTGAAGACTATTAGCCATACATTATCAGGTGTCATTTCAACATTTGTTTCAATGAGTGATTAGCTTAAGAGTTAATCTTGTTGTACAAGGGTACTCTTGTACTATTCATTAAGTTGAAAACAAACACGGTTACTAAGAAATACGAGCGATTTATTCTACTCAAGTTTTCATTTCTTTCTTCTTCTTTTGTGGTTCTTCTTCTTCTTTGTTACTATTATGATGGGATCAACAAGCTAGTCCTGCTTGCGCATTTGATTATGAAGATTTTGCAGTTGCACTCCAAGTAAAATGTGAGATAAAAGCTAATCTTCATCCCAAGAATCTTGTTCTTCAATCTCCCAAACCTACTGTCAGACACGTAAATGATAAAAACTTGTACAACTAGTCAGACCATGAGACAATTTTCATTAGGTTTCGATTTATTCAAAGAAATATATTTAAAGTTTGATATACACTCAGCATTTTATTGGCTAGCGCATATGTGTCAAACAAACGGCCCGACCAAAATAAAACCCTGCCTGGCCCGTAGGTTTGGGTTGGCGAGGCCCAAAAAAATTCATATCGACAACCTTTCATTTAGTGGACGTCAAATGTTGCTTAATTATGTGGTGTATGATGCATGGAGCCCTAGTGGTAAAAATCATCCTCACCATATCTTATATATAAAACCAACCCAAAAGGTGAATGGTACTTTTAGTGTCACCAAGCTTCAACAAAATATTTTTTTAATAATTAATTTTTTGGTACAGTTTTTTTTTTTTTTTACCTCACAATAGACTAGTAATAATATGATTCAATTTCTCTATTTTTAAACACATTCAAAACATTTTAAGAGGCATGGAATGTTGGTTATAAAAAATGTCATTCACACGCGGATAATAATGTGATTAAATAAGTTATCAATTGATTTTTTTGTTTTTTTAACAAATGATATTATCTACACTAAGGGGAATGGGTTGGACTTAGTCTCACAATGAGCTAGCAATAATATGATTCAATCAGTTGTTTATTAAATATTATTTTCTCTTTTTTTTAAACACGTTCAAAATATCTTAAAAGGCATGTAATGTCGATTATAAAAAAACGTATTTTGCACGCGGATAATAATGTGATTAAATTAATTGTTAAATGATTATTTTTTTAAACAAACGATTATCTACACTAAGTCGGAGGGGGCTTTGCCTCACAATGGGCTAGCAATAATGTGATTCAATCAATTGTTTATTAAATATTATTTTTTCTATGATTGATTTTATTATGTGAATTCAGCTGCTTTAATTGGTTTATGAGGGGTTTCTTGTAGCATGATCTAAATTATCCATTTACTTCAAATATTTGACTTTCCTTTTGTCAATTTATGCATATAAATACATTTAAAACGTGTAAGTCGCGCGTAGCACGTCGTGATTCCAAAAATACCTTTTGTCATGCGTGAGCGCGTGCATGAAGGCTAATCTATATATAAAGCCAATGGAAAATGTGAATAGTGGTTTTGGTGTCACCAAGCTTCAACAAAAAATATTTGGACAAAAATGCCCCTAAAATAAAAAACTTCAAAGGCATCCTAAAATAATGCATCAAATAAGACTGGGGCATTTTCGTCATTTTAATAGTGCTTTTTTTGATAATTACTTTTTTTGTACTTTTTTTTTTAATTAGTATCTCACAATAGGTTGGCAATATGTGATTCAATTTCTCTATTTTTAAACACGTTCAAAACATCTTAAGAGGCGTGTAATGCCGGTTATAAAAAAAGTCTTTCACGGATAATAATGTGATTAAATTAGTTGCCAAATGATTGTTTTTTTTTATTAACAAACGATATTATCTACACTAATGGGGAAGGGGTGTGCTTAGTCTCACAATGGGCTAACAATAATATGATTCAATCAATTGTCTATTAAATATTATTTTCTCTATTTATAATGTAAATTCTATAGAGACCGATTTTATTATGTGAATTCAGCTGTTTTAATTGGTTTATAAGGGCTTTCTTTTAGCATGATCTAATATTATTCATTTACTTCAAATATTTGACTTTCCTTTTGTCAATTTACACAACATACATTTAAAATGTGTCAGTCGCGCATAGCACGCCGTGATTCAAAAAATATCTTATGCATGAGCGTGAGCACGCGCATGAAGGTTAGTCTTGTTAATGTGAATGTTTTTCACATTTGTTGCTTACAATAATGGGTTGGTCGATCGTGGACTCATTAGTTCATAACTTCATATACATTGGCCAGTTTTAACACAAAAGTAACATAATTTAGGATTTGGCTGTTGAGCTACAGTCGGATGATTTGGCATGGGATCTGGTTGACCTGGCCCTGTCTTTATTTCTATGGCAGGATATACATTATCTAACTGTTTTGTGCTGAAATTCAGATTCAGTAAATAAAATCGTTTGCAAAAAATAACAAAGCCATGCACAAGGAATGTTGGATAAAATTTTATAATTTTTATCATATTATCTTATGCTGGAGGCTGAAGGTTGGAGGCTGCTTGGTTTATGTGTTTGGAAGGAGGCAAACCATTTTTTTAATTTTGAGTATCTCTAGTTGAGTCTCTAAATAGGGATAACGACCATATAAAATGAGTATAAAACAAATACAAGAACAAAATGAATCTCCAATGAATCGGAAAGTGAGTCCCTAAAGTATAGAGACTCACCAGATACTTGGTATATGTACTGACATACAAGGACTGTATAGGGACTTAAATGATATACCTGTTTTTGCAATTTGAGTGGAAAAGTTATACAAAAGTCTTCCATTTTCTCCTCTTAAAGACAATTTAAGCTTCTTTTGCCACCAGCCCTAGCCTGGCTTGGGTGCCAGAGGCATCCACCCTTCCTTTCTTCTTTTCCTCTTTCTTCTTTCTTCTCTGTTTCCTCTAGAGTTTTCTCAGGTTTTCTCTCATTTGCTCGCTCCCTCTTTTCCTTCCCTCTCATCTGTCATCTCTTCTTCACCTTCCCTGCTTCCATTCTCCTCTTCCTTCACCTTTTTTTTTTTTTCTAGTTTTCTCCTTTTCTTTTTAATTCTCGGTTCTCCCCTGAGTTTAACCTACGGAAAAGAAGGTTAAAATCACACAAATACTTGCAAGAGTACAAGGATGTTGTAGTATAGATGCTCATGCAAGGTTGTTCTCCACAATGACTATTTAAACAATTTATGTAAAAACACTTCCTAATTAACTACTAAAACTAAAAATTGAGAAAAGAGATTTTGAATTTGAGTAATATTAAAAAAAAAATTTAATTAAAAACCAAGTAATAAATTCAACCAAAATTAAAACGATAAAAGAAAAGAGTTTTTAAATACCAATTTATAAAAGCACTAGGGTTCAACTATCACCTAGCAATCCTATGTATTTTTACCAATTACTTATGATCTACACATGTTACTTTGAAGGTTAGATTTTCTTAATATATATTATACTTGAAACCTCCAACATAAAACGTCTATCTAACATGCAATCCGTTCGGACTTTCAAATCAAATATAAACATGAGAGACTCATTATGTTTTGTGAAAACCATTTGAAAAACCATGCAACCCTTAAGACATGGTGTTCATCTCAAGTGAAATTACAATTATCAAACAACAAGAAGTCAGCGTCAATTTCAGGAACCTTCCAACTAAAATTGCATTAAATTACTTCTCAAGGATCCTAATCGTGATCAAGCATTAAGACAATTAGATAGTTTAAGCACAATGATCAATAATTCAAAGCATGCATGCAATCAATCATAAGCAATCAAATAAAAATTACATATTCATGCTAAGGCTTAAGGCGCTGCCCTAGCAAAACAGAACAAATTAGTTATGCATATTCATAATTAAAATCATAGAATACATTATTATGAAGAAAATGATTGAAAATACCTTTAAGTATAAGTCTGAAAATCTTCAAGAACCTTAGCCAATTTCCTATCTCCAAACTCGTATAAAAGAATAGAGTAGAAAAAGACTAGGGGCAGCCAAACCTTATATCCCTCTCATCAGCTATCGCATAATGCCTAATAAAGTCTTTTGTTCCAACTAGGAAACCAAATAATAATAAAATATACTATAAAATAAAGTCCTAATTAACCTAGGAGAATCTATAAGGGAACTGTCTAGCCACTTTTTAACCTCAAGTATCCTCCAAATTCGGCCTATGACAGCTTGTGCTCCAAAACTTACGTTCTGAACACATCTCCATGAGGGAACTGTAAACACGAGAAATTCCTGAAACACAAGGGACAAGAATACGTGTACAAAATATATTTTTTGTATTAATGATTTTGGGGTTACAATCTCTTTGTAATTTGATCCTCTGATTCTATCTTCGTAGGATGTGAGTTTGTGGATGAGTTGTTGATCCAAAGGGCCGTCGGGGCTTGATCTAAGGATGCACAGTTGATGAATGGATCTTCAAGGGGCGTTGGGCTTGATCTTGAAGGTTGATGGATGAACGGATCTTCAAGGGCTTTTGGGCTTAATCTTGAAGGATGAACGAATGTGTGGATTTGTTGAGGTTGTTGATCCAAATGGGCCGTTGGGGCTCGATCTTAGGATGAACGGATCTTCAAGGGCTTCTAGGCTTAATCTTGAAGGATGAACGGATGTGTGGATTTGTTGAGGTTGTTGATCCAAAGGGGCCGTTGGGGCTTGATCTTAGGATGAACGGATGATGAGCGATGAACACTTTCCTCAAGGGCCGTCGGGGCTTGATCTTGAGTTGGTGGAAGTTCTTCAAGGGCCGTCGGGGCTTGATCTTGAATTGAACGGATGATGAACGATGAACACTTTCTTCAAGGGGCCGTCGGGGCTTGATCTTGAGTTGGTGGAAGTTCTTCAAGGGCCGTCGGGGCTTGATCTTGAAGGTGGATTTGACGAAGAACGAAGATTGCTTTCTTGATCCTTCGGGATTTGCTTGAGAGCTTTAGAGTTTCAAGGCTTCTTTCTTTCTTCCTTCCTTCTTTTCTTCTTTTCCTCTTTTTCCTTCTTCCTCCTCCCCCCCAAATGAATGCCTTTGGCCTCCTATTTATAGAATTCCAAAACTTGATTTTTGGATTTAAATAATCAGATGAAATAAATCATTTCTGCCAGGTATTGACACGTGTCCTATTTGATGACTTTTCCAATTTATTTCGATTTTTCGTTGAGTCACACGCTACATGTAAAATTTATGTGATACGTGAGCGTTGAAATTTTAATTTTTGGTCAACATTTATTTCACCGAAATTTTGATGTCTACAAATGCCCCCACTTCAAGGCGTGTCGTAGACATGTGCTTGTCACGTGTAGAAGATGCGTTTTGAAGTCCCTTAATGTAGATGTCAACCCAAGGGCCGTCGAGGCTTGATCTTGAATTGAGCTAGAGATTTCTTCAAGGGCCATCGAGGCTTGATCTTAAGTTAGACTGGAAGATTTTCTGGTTTCCTCCAATCGTTGATTTTCCGCAGGCTTAATCTTGAACTGAGCTGGAGGATTCTTTTGGTCTCCTCCGAAGGTCTGAACTTACTCCTTTGATCTGGAGTTGAATTTGATTCAAGGGTGGTGAACACTTGATTTTGAATCGGACTTGTGATTTCTTCAAGGGCCATCGAGGCTTGATCTTGAACTGGGCTGGAGGATTCTTTTGGTCTTCCTCCGAAGGTCTGAACTTACTCCTTTTATCTGGAGTTGAATTTGATTCAAGGGTGGTGAACACTTGATTTTGAATCGGACTTGTGATTTCTTCAAGGGCCATCGAGGCTTGATCTTGAACTGGGCTGGAGGATTCTTTTGGTCTCCCCCTATTGTTGATTTTCCTTTGTGCTACTCTTGAACTGGGTGCAAGGTTCTTTTGGTCTCCTCCACTCGTTGATTTTCCTTTGTGCTACTCTTGAACTGGGCAGCAGGATTCTTTTGGTCTTCCCCGAAGGTCTGAGCTTACTCCTTTTTTTCTGTTTCTTTGTTCAATCTCTCCAATTCGTATTGAAGAGGGTTAGAGGATAGCTCAGCATATGCAGTCGTAGCTTGTCTCCACATGCTTCAATGCATCATTTTCACTTGCCTTACTTGCCCCCCTTTGCAGAAGTGGTATTTCCTTATGCAGGTTTAGCATCTTCTCTTGTACTATTTGTTCCTGATGCAGGAGTTGAATGCAAACCTTGCATTTGAATGGACCATCACTTCTTGGTGGCAGCGCAAGTTTGAGTGGAGGTTCCGACATATTGCTTTCTCTGTCCTTATCCTGGCAGGTGAGAACAAGGGCAAAGGAAAAGATAGGGGAAAAGCATGATATGAGATACCTTTGCTTTCGCCCTTGATGATATGAGATACTTTTGCCTTGGTGTCATTTGTTTGCAAGGGTATTCCCGGAGAGGAAGAAAACTGAGCATTTTGAGATGTTTTGCTGGGAGTGTACTCTCGGAGGTGAGGAAGAGTTGGGCATTTTTTTATTTTTTCTTGTTTGCAGGTTTGCCTTGCCATAAAAGATGAAGGTCGACATATATAGGGATTTCCCAATAGCAAGTGGTGGTACTGTTCTTTTACCCTTGTCGACAAACGTTTTGATCCCGCAAATTCGACTTTTTGAAATAGTGACGACTCTTCGATCTTTGAATACACCTCTTTGATTTCTGAACGACGCCTCTTCGATTTCTGAACGAGCGTCTCTTTTGACAAAGTGGCACGCGTTTTCTGAAAAGCAGAGAAAGCGTCGCCGAACTTTGCGCTTGTCAGCTAAAGATGTGTAGCTGCGATGATGACCTCCACGTGATCTTTTGACAAAGTGGCACCCGTGCTCTGAAAAGCCGCGAAAGCGTTGCCAGCCTCCACGTGTTTTTCAACTTTGTCGGAGATCTTTTGACAAAGTTGAACGCGTTTTCTGGAAAGCCGAGAAAGCGTCGCCTAACTTACGCCGAAAAATCCAGCTTTTGAGATTTGCAGAGCGATGTCTTTTCACTTTTGAATAAGCGGCCCTTCGATTTCTGAACCAACGCCTCTTTGATTTTTGAGCAAGCGCCTCTTCCTTTTTATAGAGGTATTGATCACCTGTAACATGCATACTTTGAAGGTTGCTCATTCCTGAAAATCATCTCCGGCCTTTTGAGTTTTAACTCCATCCACCCATCTCTTTTAACACCTTTGAAAAATGGCTAACCCATCGAACCTTAGCTTAGAATTGAGTCTTAGCAGTGATCCGGTTGCGCCGCTTCAAGGTAATGTATGGTGTCCTTCTTTCTTATCTTCTAACGGTCCTCTTACAGGTGAAGACTCCGTGATGCAGGACGCCACAACAGCTACAATAGTAGCTAGGAACCTCCTTACTCCAAAAGATAGTAGGCTGCTGTCAGGACGGTCCGATGAGTTGGCCGTTCAAGAGTCCCTCACTCTTAGTGTTCAGTGTGCGGGCTCTGTGTCCAACATGGGCCAACGCCTGCTTGCTCGGTCCCGTCAAGTGGAATCATTGATGGCAGAGGTGGAAGATCTTAAGCAGGAGATTAAACAGCTTAAGTACGAGAATAGAAGTTTGCATGTGCTTGCAAATAACTATTCGTCGGGCATGAAGAGGAAGCTTGATGAGATGCAAGAATCTCAAGGTCGCATTCAAAGTGACCGTCAAAGGCTGGCGTCTTTCTTCCAGAGGCACATTTTTCCGGCGTCATCAAGCGTTCCACCAAGTATTGGGGCCTCGAATGATCTATCTTCGGTGCCTCCCGCTCCTGGAGTTTGGCCAAGTAGTGGGGCTTCACGTGAACGACCTTTGTGAAGGCTCCATCTTCCTCTTTCTTTGTTAGATACATTTTTTCGCACTTGTAATTGCTCTCGGTGTGCCTGGCACCGTGTGAGTTTCAAATTCTACAAAATTATAACTTGTATATAACAAATATGTCCACAATCTTGTGCACATACACACGCATATAGGCCACTGCATTTGCTCACTGCCTTGCATCTTCCAATTTGCTAATTTAAACAATTGGCAGCTGGTGCTGTCTTTGAAAGATGCTTCCCAACATCATCATTGCTACTATTTTTTTATTATTCTTTTGAAAGATGCTTCCCAGCATCATCATTACCATTTTTTTTTATTATACTTTTGAAAGATGCTTCCCAGCATCATCATTACCACTTTTTTTTTTTTTTTTTTTTTTTAATTATTATTTTGAAAGATGCTTCCCCGCATCATCAATTTTTTTTTCTTTATATGGCCATCTGCAAGATTGAGTTCGTGGGTGAAAACCCAGGCGAGTCCGAGAGAAGACGGAGGAGGTCTTTGGGTGTGAGTTGACAAACTTTGGTTTTGTTGATCGCATTCAAAGGCAGCAGCAGAGGCAAGCAGACAGATGAGATCTTTGGGTGTGAGTTGACAAACTTTGATTTTGTCGAGCACATTCAAAGGCAGCAGCCATGGCGAAGGTGCAGAAGCAGCCAGAGCTTGAAGTAGTGCAAAGCGTCGAGTTTGAAGACCGGCTAGTCGTTTGACGGCGGTCAATGAAGCTCTTCGTTGATTTTGATCAAGGTGGCCAGAATGACGAGCTCGAGGTCCTTACAGGCGAGGAGCTGCATGGATGGAGAGGAAGAAGTGCCTTGTCGTGTTCCGTCACTTTCTCTTAACCTCTCTTACTGACTTCATGTTCTTTTGTTGCAGAAAAAAAGGGGAGCAGAGCTCTTGGATTTGATTGGAAATTCACAGGGTGGTTTAGACCATTGATTAGGACAATACCACTGAAGTGAAGGTGCTTGCTCATCGGAGAAGAAGCTACAAGCCTCCTCACTGCTAAAGAAGTTGTGCTCCTCCACCTTCACGGAAGGCTGATAGCTCTTTTGGAACGGAAAGCAGCCAGCTGGGAAAACACAGACGAATTCGCCTGCCCGAATCCTAGAATCCCATCAAGCGCCTCGGATGACTTGCCCAGCTGCCCTGATTGCTTAGCTCCGCAACCAAACACAACACTGCCATTAGTCCCCTTGTCAAATTGAATAGTGTCCTTCACAAAGTATCCCACCGTTGCACTTCCGTCGCCATAAGTCACGTCGTATTGGCAGAGCAAGTCCGGCCGGCAGCCCGGAAGCTGACCGTTGTATTTCGACGTGCAAAACTCCTGATTACAAGTAACAGCATTCGAACTCGAAGAGCCTTTCGGATCATACAAAGTGAGCTTCACGCCAATATCACTTTTCGTTGGACAGTTAGTGCAGTCGATGCAATTGACCCACAGGATGTCACTCCCTGTATCCACCTGGACAAAATAGTCCTTCGACGGCGAGCCGATCCCGAGCTTGGCGAAGTATAATCCGGTCTCTGATCAACAGTTAAGGGGATTGTTTCGGTCCCTCGGCAAAGAAGAGCCCTAGAGTCACCACAATTAGATATGATAATCTGGCAACCAGATAGAACCGCAACAACTGCAGTTGATCCAACCATCTCCGGCGCAACTGACTCTGCCATGAGCTCATTGTCAGCTCTCTCAAAACCAATCGAGAATGCCGCTTCCCATTTCCTTCGCCATTCGTAGCCGTCAATCGTTTCTCGATCCCACTCCTGTGCAATCACTTCATGCGTCCTCTCAGCGCAAAATTTAGCCACCTGATTGCCGCCATGGCCGTCGTAAACGCCGAAGAAATGAACGGGTGAGATCTCGGCGGAGGATCTGGAACCAGGCGCCGTACAACCGCCCACGTGATCGCACGTGCGAGACATGAAATTTGGAATCACAGCGACGGCGTCCTCCATCTCTCGCCTCCTCCCAATCACCGAAGTGAAACCCCAGGTCACTCCCTTGTTGTTCCTCCCTACGCACTTGGGCCGCGCAACCGCTACTCTCACTTCTTCGGCGGTCGAGAGCGCTGGGTCGACCAGACTCGGGACCAGCAGCGCCCGAATCTCGCCAGAGCTGCTCGTCGTCGTTCGCGAGACCTCGCCGGAGCTCGTCGCGCTTCTGTAGTCCTCGGAGGTGATTACCGAGGACAGGCTCACGCTCGAGCTCGTCGATGACAGTTCAACGTCGGGGAGTGAGTTGACTCGCTCGAGTTGCTCGTCCTCTGTGGAGTCCATGTTCCGAAGCGAGCGAGAGAGGGAGAGAGTACAGTCGCTCTGGAGCCGCGACTGCCAGAAAGGCGTAGAAGAGGATGAAGGAGACTGGCGATGGCGTTCTCGAGAAGAGGAGTAGCAGAAGATGGTGACTTGGGCCGATGAGCTGTTCTTTGGTGCGTGGTCTGAGTCAGATCGGCGAGTCGCGGAAGGCGGGGACAGTGTTGGGAGTGGAGTTTTCTCCCGGTTTGAGCGGCTGAGGTAGAACCTGGGGGAAAATCTGTCTTTTTGAAGGACGGACAACAGGTTGATCATCTCGGCGGTGTGGTCCGGATCTGGACAGTGCGGCGCGTCGTCGCCGTGGTCGGTGGAGGGAGATCGGGAGTAAACAGTGAGTGAGGTGACGGATGGGAAGGCGTCACGGAGGCGCTGGAGAAACTGAGAGACTTGTAACAAAGTCTTCTGAAAGTGAAGGTTGAGGAAGCTAAAACACCCAATGAGATGGTGCCAACGACTGTATGCTTCTGCTCGGCCGCGGCATCGCCGGAGGATCGCCATTCTGCAAGGCGTTTGAGGCGGTGAGAGAGAAAGGAAAGTGGAGCTCTTTTGTTTGTTTCGAGTGAACTGATTTGGGGAGAGCGTGATTAGAAGATGGGGCTTTGAGAGTGAGTAGGGCCCGGTTCTTTTGGGTATATGGGCCTTTGTCCTCAACACAACAATCCAGCCCACCATTTTTTTTTTTTTTTTTTTTTTTTTCTTTTGAAACCAACAACATGTAATTTTTTTGTACAAAGAACGTAATAATATTGACTTTCATTAGTCACTTTTACTACAACCTCATTTTGATGTGACTGAACTCAAAATTAAACGTTCGAGCTACCTACGTACCCTTCCAACGAAGAGATCAAGTCGAAACGTAGTTCAAACATTTTTATTTTTTTTATTTTTTATGATGGTGTGACTGTACTTGAAGTTTTGAAGTTTCAAGTTGCCTACGTACCCTTCCAAAGAAGAGATCAAGTCATAACGTAGTTCAAATATTTTTATTTATTTTTATTTTTTATGATGGTGTGACTGTACTTGAAGTTTTGAAGTTTCAAGTTGCCTATGTACCCTTCCAAAGAAGAGATCAAGTCATAACGTAGTTCAAATGAGTGATGGTTTTGATGATGATTTTGATGATGATTTTGCCGTACACAGTTTATGCTCTTGCGGGCTAGGAGCGTTTGTTGTCGCCTTTTATGCTCGTGCGGACAAGGAGCTTTGGTTGTCGCCTTTTAGGCTCGTGCGAACGAGGAGCTTTTGTGAATTTGTCAAGCGATCTGGGAGAGGCGTTCCTCGCAATCTTTATAGGAAGGAGCCTTGACCGAGTGATTGAAGAAGTCTTTGGGGAAGAAATCGCGCATTGTGATGGCAACGGACGATCTTTGTGTCATAACTTCATCATCCTCAACACTTTCATGTAGCTTTGAAGGTTGACGGTAGCTGCTTTGCCCCCTTTCCGATTGGTGAACTTGTGGAGGAGACCTATGTTTCTTGTGCATTTTCTTTGGAGTGACATAAGTCCATCCTTCAACTTCACTTGACTTGACTGACATGGTTTTGGAGCATGCCCTCAGCGGTTGAGGTGAAGATTTTGAGTTCAAAGAGCCAGAAGTGACGGTGATATAATTTGTCTTCACCACATCATTAAGATCTAGCTCAATGATCCCTTTCTGAGCCAACTTCATGATGAGATCTTTTAGCACAAAGCACTTTTCCGTCGGATGACTAATGAAGCGGTGGAATTTGCAGTACCTTGGACTGTCAGTACGGTTCATCTCTTCTGGCCGTTTGCACTCAGGTAGGTCGATCACCTTTTTGTCAAGCAAGTCTTTCAACATGGCAACCACGTCAGAGTCGGGGAATGGATAAGTCTTCTCCTCAAGCTCCTTCAAAGTGCGTCTACGTATCTCTTGATCACGAAAAGCTTCGGTTTGAATCGCCTTGCTTCGTGTAGGGATTTTGACTGGAGTTGTGTTAACCGTCATTGCTTCCTTGGTGGGTTTCCACGTAGCCTTATCCACCTTTGGCCCCAAAACTTTGTCATTCTTGTAGTCGGCGATCTGTTCTTTCTTCCTATGACGGGTGATGCTTAACTCCATATCATGGGCGCGGGTGGCTAATTCCTCGAATGTTCGTGGTTTGATGCCTTGAAGGATGTAGTGTAGTCCCCACTGCATGCCTTGAACGCACATCTCAATGGCAGAGGTTTCAGAAAGCCGATCTTTGCAATCCAGACTTAAGGAGCGCCATCTATTTATGTAATCGACGACAGGTTCATCTCTCCACTGTTTTGTACTGGTCAGCTCTAGCATGCTTACAGTACGACGAGTGCTGTAGAAACGGTTAAGGAATTCCCTTTCTAGCTGGTCCCAACTGTTGATAGACTCAGGTTCGAGGTCAGTGTACCAGTCAAAAGCGTTACTTTTCAGCGATCGCACGAACTGTTTGACGAGGTAGTCTCCCTCTGTCCCAGCATTGTTGCAAGTTTCAATGAAATGGGCGACATGTTGCTTCGGGTTGCCTTTTCCATCGAACTGCATGAATTTTGGGGGCTGATAACCCCTTGGCATCTTCAAAGCATCAATCTTCTTGGAGTAAGGCTTTGAGTACAGTACGGAGTCATGCGAGCTTCCTTCGTACTGCGTCTTGATAGTACTTGCGATCATCTCCTGTAGCTGCTGGATAGATAGAGATCCCATGGATGTCGTTGCTTGGTCTAGCTTCGGCTTCTCTTCGACTTTCTCCACTGGTGGCTCCTCTTCTTCGTCGCCTTCTTTCTTTAATAGGCCAACAATTGGGTCGACTTTCACGTCGGGCAGCGCATCTAGTTGGTTGACAAGTGCGGCAATCTGCAAGTCCTTCTCTTCCACAGTCCGTGTGAGCTTTGCGATTGCTTCATTCATCTGAGCTAGCTGCTCCTCGATTGAAGTTGCTCCCGTGGTCATGACTTGCATGGTTGTACTGCCGCTCGAATCAGCGTCGGAGAGTAGGGACTCTGAGTATTTCCTTGGGCTCTCCCCTTTTGATGCCCTTAGCGAGGCTAGGGTGATCACAGGCTCGTACCTCAAGTGCTCTTGTTCCTTTGACAGAGTTAATGCAGGGGCGGAAGCCGCGGCAAAAAGATCTCTTGCCTTACTTCGGGTTATGATGCCCGAAATATCACCACTTGCGGCGATGATGTTCTTGTTCTTTGCTTTGATTGTAGGAACAGCTTGATCCTTTCTTGATGCCATTTGCGTTTTTCGATGATTTGAGGATAGAGATGAGAGGTAGAGATTGTCCCACTGGGCGTGCCAAATTTGTAAACACGAGAAATTCCTGAAACACAAGGGACAAGAATACGTGTACAAAATATATTTTTTGTATTAATGATTTTGGGGTTACAATCTCTTTGTAATTTGATCCTCTGATTCTATCTTCGTAGGATGTGAGTTTGTGGATGAGTTGTTGATCCAAAGGGCCGTCGGGGCTTGATCTAAGGATGCACAGTTGATGAATGGATCTTCAAGGGGCGTTGGGCTTGATCTTGAAGGTTGATGGATGAACGGATCTTCAAGGGCTTTTGGGCTTAATCTTGAAGGATGAACGGATGTGTGGATTTGTTGAGGTTGTTGATCCAAATGGGCCGTTGGGGCTCGATCTTAGGATGAACGGATCTTCAAGGGCTTCTAGGCTTAATCTTGAAGGATGAACGGATGTGTGGATTTGTTGAGGTTGTTGATCCAAAGGGGCCGTTGGGGCTTGATCTTAGGATGAACGGATGATGAGCGATGAACACTTTCCTCAAGGGCCGTCGGGGCTTGATCTTGAGTTGGTGGAAGTTCTTCAAGAGCCGTCGGGGCTTGATCTTGAATTGAACGGATGATGAACGATGAACACTTTCTTCAAGGGGCCGTCGGGGCTTGATCTTGAGTTGGTGGAAGTTCTTCAAGGGCCGTCGGGGCTTGATCTTGAAGGTGGATTTGACGAAGAACGAAGATTGCTTTCTTGATCCTTCGGGATTTGCTTGAGAGCTTTAGAGTTTCAAGGCTTCTTTCTTTCTTCCTTCCTTCTTTTCTTCTTTTCCTCTTTTTCCTTCTTCCTCCTCCCCCCCAAATGAATGCCTTTGGCCTCCTATTTATAGAATTCCAAAACTTGATTTTTGGATTTAAATAATCAGATGAAATAAATTATTTCTGCCAGGTATTGACACGTGTCCTATTTGATGACTTTTCCAATTTATTTCGATTTTTCGTTGAGTCACACGCTACATGTAAAATTTATGTGATACGTGAGCGTTGAAATTTTAATTTTTGGTCAACATTTATTTCACCGAAATTTTGATGTCTACAGGAACGAATCCAAAATAGGTCATCTTGGGCTCTAAAACTTGCAATTAAGCTCAAAACGTCACTTTTCCAGCACCGCGCACTGCTCCTTTATTCTATCGCTAGAAAATAACCGTTTGGTGGAAAAATTTGATATTTTGACACGATCAAGCTAAGTGACTCATGAACGTCCTTCAATTAGAACTGTCATGAACGTCCTTCAATAAGAACTACTCCAAAATTCATCCATTTGATTATGTTTTGCTCCATAGGAAGTCGAAAGTCCTATATTGAAAATATAACTCAAAGTATCAAAATTCTTCCAAAATAATAACCAAAATAAACTAAGAATAGAGTTAAATATATAATATAAAATCTATTCATCATTTCCTCCAAAGTTTTCTCAAGTTTTCTCTCATTTGCTTGCTCCTTCTTTTCCTCCTCTCTCATCTCTCCTTCACCCTCCCTGCTTCCTTTCACCTCTTCCTTCACCTTCTTTTTCAGTTTTCTCCCTTCCTTTTTAATTCTCGATTCTCCCCTGAGTTTAATCTCAGTTTTCCTTGAGCCGAGTCTCAACTATCCTGGGATTCATGTCCTTTATCTAGCATTTTTCGCCTGGTTTTACTGCTTTCTGTCTTTTAATTTCCCTTCCCCCTCCTCCCTAGTTGTGATGTTGCATCCCCAT